GAGTGTGGGCGCTGGGGCGTGGGGCTGCTGGGGGCTGGCGGGTGGCGCGCGCGCGCGGGGCCCGGGGGTAGGCGCGTGAGGCGGGGCGGGAGGGCGGCGAGGGCGCCCCGGTCGCGTTGGAGCTGCGTTGGAGCGGCCCTCCACGTTATTCCGCGCGGGGAGAGGTGGGTGGAGGAGCACTTGGAGGGTGGGCGGCACCATGCCACCGGTCTAGACTGCGCGGGGATGCAGCTGGGGCCAGTGTGCTACGCGCTAGAGGGCCGGGCGGCGGGCGCAAACATGTTGCGCCGCACCCGCGATCGTCGAGCGACACTTTAAAATCGGTGCCGCTATCTCGCGCACACCCCATTTTCGGTGTTTCGCGCGTCGGGCATAAAAATAAAAAAGAAAGCGCCGCGGGAAGCTTCAACACGGAGCACAAAAGCGGCCCGCGCGTTCCGTCGCTCTCCATCCGCACCAGACCGGGTCCTCCGCGCGCCGCGCTGCAGGCAGTCATGCTCATGGCTCATGGCACAAAGCCACCCCTGGTGTGAGCAAAACTGCGGGTGCACCACCCAAGTTCGTGATGGACACCGTGGTGGACAGCGTCCCCCGAGGGGGGGGGGGGGGGATACTTCGAAGATGGCTAGCCTGGTCTGGAAAGAAAGAAAGAAAGAAAACAGATATCCCAAACGAGGGATGGGGGAGGATGACAGGGTCCCCACCTGCACGAGAGCAGGATTTTGGAAGGTCTTGATAGCTTCAAGGCTCGGGTTACACCAATCCTCGCTACCCAACGCGGCCAAAGGATATCCACCTCGAGAACCTCGAGAGATAGCTTCAAGACCACCGAAGAATTCTTGTCTGGCGGCGCGCTGTTGAGGTGGTCGCACTTCAGCCGGTTGAGAGTCCGCGCGATGTTCCAGGAGGTCAAGCCGGAGGTCAAGCCGGAGGTCAAGCAGGAGATCAGCTCCACCTCCGCCGCCGACACGGGCTGCCGCGGCGGCGGCGGCAGCGGCGGCGGCAGCAGCGGTGCCGCCTCTGCCGGAGCCGCCGCGCCCGCCGCTGCCGGCGGCGGCGGAAAGCGGCGCAAAAAGGACCCTGACGCGCCGGCGGGCAAGAAGTCAGCGTACTGTTTCTGGGCGATTGATCAGAGAAAGGCACCCGAGTACGCGAGCATGTCGTTCGGCGAGCGCGAGAAACTGATTGCCGCACGCTGGAAGACGGTTGCGGAGGGCGACAAGACGCCGTTCCACGAGCTGGCCAAGAAGGACTCGGCGCGGCACGCCGATGAGATCCAGCGCTACACGCCCGCGATGGGCGGCGCGGCGCCGCCCGCCAAGGCGCCCGTCACCAAGAAGAAGGCGGCCAAGCCGAAGCGCGAGCTCGTGGTGCGGCTCGAGTCGACCAGCGGGCGCAGCTCGATCCGGATCGGCGCCGCTCCGCACGAGACGCTCATCGGGCGGGCCCACAACTCCGAGCTCGCCTCCGTCAAGAACCTCTCGCGCACGCAGGCCCGCGTCGAGCTCCGGCCAAAGAAGAAGCCGGTGGTGGCGCTGCTCACGGCGCTCGGCACCAACCCGCTGTCGACGCGGAAGCCGGCCGACACGGTGGCGAGGCTGCTCTTCACGGGCGAGGCACGCGACCCCCCTCCCCCTCCCCCCTCCCCCCTTTTCCCTCCCACCTCCCGCCCAGCCCCCCATTTGACTCCTCCAAAGTGCTACCTCCTCTCAGATGGCGCGGGAGGTGCGGTGCGGCGACGTGATCCAGCTGCACGTCGACCCGCACACGCGCCTGCCCGGCAAAGAGGCGTGCGAGTATACACTCGTCGCCGTGAGGCGCTAGAGGAGGCGCCGCCCGCCGCCACTCCACCCGCCTCGTGCGGCTACATCGAGGACCTCGACTGAATGGGAGCGGCGAGGCGCTGTGGCGCGTCCGGCGCGCAGAAAAGGCGCAGGAGGGACGCACGGGCCCCTGGCGGGCGCGGCGCTGCGCTGATTCACGCAATTATGCACCTCATGTGTGTGGAGCACGTATTCGTTTGTGTTTGTTCGTGGACTGGCTGTGCTCTGTCTGTGGAGCTGAGGAAACGTGGGGACGTGAGGGAGACGTGTGGGCTGTGGGGCTATGACTAGCCAAACAAAAAAGAGGAAGATTTTTCCAAACTGTTGTATAGTAGCCACTGGCCCACTGTGCACTGAAGCGTGAAGGCGCGTGCAAGTCCTGTAATAAATAAATCAAATCTCCAGGAAAGATGGGACGCACGAACACAGAGGCACAGCGCGCACCCCGCCCCGCTCGCAGGGCGTGCATTACACAGGAATTCTTTTTCCATCCCTGGCTACTCATATGTCGAGCGACCGGTGCGCAGGCTTCTTCGCCGTCCAGGTTGGCACTTCCGCCACCGTTCACGACACGCTCGCCGAGGCGCTAGTCAGGTTGGTCCCGTGTGCTGCTATCGTCCGGTTTGAGACGCGTGACGAGGCTGAGGCGTGGGCAAAGCTCGCGCCACGGCGGCCGGCGCCTGCCACCGAAGCCTCCGAGGGAGCGCCAACGGCGCCGGGCTCGCCGGCGGAGGAGCGCAATGCCGTGGCGGCAGAAGAAGAGGCGCAGGCCGAGGTCATTGGCGCCTTTGCACACCACGTCAGCGACGACGGAGCTGTCGGCGTCGGCGCTGTGCTGGAGCGCCGGGCAGACGGCTTCAGCTGGCGTGGCTATCGACACTGCGCTGGCACCGTCGCCACTGCCGCCACTGCCGTATCGCAGGAAGAGTCGGAGGAGGAGGACGCGACGCAGGCGGTCGCTCGGGCTGGCAGCGGCACCGCCCTCCGCGGCGGCAGTGCCGGTGGCGGCGGTGGCGGCAGCAGCTGTGGCGGTGCCGGTGCTGGTGCCCCGTCGGAGGGGGAAGAGGAGGCCAGCTCCACGGTCGAGACCGAAGTCGAGGCCTTCTTGCTCTTGGCCGAGGCGGCGAGCGTCCTCGCGCCGCGCGAGTCGCTGCTTCTGCTCGGCGGCTCTCGCCTGCTCCACTCCCTCCTGCGGCGCCGCGTGGCTGCCCCAACGCTGGCCGATGGGGCAAGAGTCCTAGCCGCGGGTGGCGTCATCTGCGCGGCGGAGGCGCTGACGCTTCGGCGCGGAGGAGCGCTGTCGACGCTGCTCTCGCGCGGCGCTGCCCTCCTCGCTGGACTCGACCGATGCGCCCTCCTCGTAGAGACAGCGGCGGCGGAGACAGTGGCGGCGGAGACGGCGGCGGCGGAGACGGCGGCGGCGGAGACGGCGGCGGCGGCGATCGAGCATCCTGCCGCGCCGTCTTCGCCGCGGGGTTGCGGCGGCGGCGGTAGTGCCGGCGCAGCGGTGGGCCGGCGCCAGCTCGCGCAGCTGCGAGGCTTGGCAGCGGAGGCTCGCGTCGAGGCTGCTCGCGCGAGCCTGCTGCGGGCGAGTGGCTCAGAGCTGCTCGCCGCGCCTCTGGCGGCTTTCCCGCCCCTGGCGGCCCCGCTGGCGCCCGCCCCTATGGCAGGGCCGGGGACAGCCGCGGCGACGGGGTCGCGAGCTGCGGTCTTGGCGGCGGATCCGGCGGCGGCCGAGGCTGGGGCAGAGCTCGCTCCCTCGGCTTGCTTGCCCTCGAGTGGAGAGGCGCCGCCCGGCACCTCGTCACGCGCCTCCTCCGGCCTCTCGGCTGGCGGCGGCGGCGGCGGCGGGTCGGGCTGGTCGTGCGAGGCTTGCACTTACCGGCACGACACCCCCCGCGAGGCGAGCTTCCTGTCGTGCTTCATGTGCGGCCACCCCCGGCCGGCTGCTAAGAAGAGGCGCGGACTCAGCGGCGGCGGCGGCGCGGCCAAGACGGCGGCCACTGCGCAGGAGGGGCCGCCCAAGCGGCGGCGGCCGCCGCTGCAGCCCCGAAACGGGCATGCCGTCGAGGCGGCCGACGCTGCGCCCGAGGCCGCGTCGTCTGGCCGGCTGCTGCTCCCGTATGAGGAGCGGGAGGTGCTGTCGCAGATCGAGTTTGCGCAGCGAGAGGCGGCGCGTGTGGCCGCGGGCGGGACGCCTCCGGGAGAGGCGGCGAGGTCGGCCCCTGCCGTGATTGACTTGTCCGGCGACTCGTCGCCGCACCGCGGCGAATCAAAGCCCGCCGCCAGTCAGCCGAAAGTGGCGGCCGAGGCGAGGGATGAGGCGAGGGATGAGGCGCCTCCCACACCGCCACCCCGCACCGCCACCCCGCCGATGTGGCGCCTGGAGGCAGGTCCGCGACGCGTCCCTACCACGGCCCGTAGGCGGAGCAGCAGGCGGGGCAGCAGGCGGAGCAGCCGCCGCCGCGCAGCTGGCGGCGAGAGGACCTCGACGAGTGGCTTGCCGCGCCAGAGCAGCGCCAGATCCAGCTTGACGTCGACCAGCGGCGCGTCGTCACCCTCGCGTGCAGGGAGAGGCGCAATCTCTTCTACACGGGCCCGGGCGGCGTCGGCAAGTCGCACGTGACGCAGGTCATCATCTCCTTCCTCCGCCACGTCTTCGCCGACCGCTTCTCCTCCGCCGTCGCGATCACCGCCCCGACCGGCATCGCAGCCACGCACATCGGAGGCACCACGCTCCACTCCGCCAGCAGCGTCGGGGTGCCGACCTTCCACGCGGACTTTGAGCGGCGGATGGGTGGCGGCGGGTCGCACTCCAAGGGCAAGCAGCTGGCCACGGGCCTCGAGGTGCTGCTCATCGACGAGGCGGCGGCGGCCCCCCTCCTCTCCCCCCTCCGCTCCGCAGGAGCGTCTCTCCCCTCGGCAGCGGGGTCAGCCTTCACCGGCGCCCTGCCGACAGGTGTCGATGCTCTCTGCCGAGTTCCTCGACCTGCTCGACGACCAGCTCCGCCGCCTCGTCGCCAAGTGCGCCCCCCGGAAGGCGGGGCCGCCCGGAGGTGGCGCGCGGGACTGAGCGGCCCCCTCTTCTCTCCCAAAGGCACGGCCGGGGCGCCGAGCACGAATGGCGCGGCTCGCGCCCGTCCGAGGTGCCTGCCTTCTCCGCGCCTCCCTCTCTGCGCGCCTCTCTCTCTGCGCACCTCCCTGTCCTGACCCCCCCCCCCTCTGTCCTGACACCCCCCTCCCCTTTCCGCGCCTCCGAGGTGCCCGCCTTTGGCGGCGTGCAGCTTCTCGCGTGCGGCGACTTCTTCCAGCTGCCGCCGATCACGGAGCGGGTGCCCGCCGCGACTTGGGGGAGGCTCCTCGGGGCGAAGCTGCGCGAGTGCCGCGCGGTGCTTCCGTCGGGCATCGAGCAGACCGAGCGGGAGCGCTGCGCTCGATCGGCCGCAGCATGCGCCGCGAGGTCTTCGCTCGCCTCACCCTGGCCTCACCCGCCTGCGAGTAGGAGCTCTTCCTCAACCGCGGCTTCGCCTTCCAGGCCGCCGCCATGTGTCTCGGCTGCATCTCGGCTGCACCTCGGCTGCATCTCGGCTACATCTCGGCCATCTCTCGGCTCCGCCTTCCAGGCCGCCGCCTGGTGGCGCGCCGACATGATGATGATCGAGCTGTCGAGGGTGTGGCGCCAGAAGGATGCAGAGCTCGTCGCGACCCTCAACCGGATTCGATGCGGCGACGCGCGGCCCGAGGACGTCGAGTGGCTCAACGCGCAGTGCGGCGCCGCGGCGGCGGCGGCGGCGGCACCGCCGGCGGGGGGCGGACTGGCGGCGGAGGCCGCTCCGCCGCGGCCGATGCTGCTCGCGCCGACGAACGCGGTCGTGTCGGAGCGGAACGTGCGCGAGCTCGCGGCGATGGTGAGCCGCGCGACCGCGTGCCAGTGGATCGCAGAGGATTGGGTCGACGTCGACGAGAGCTGCCCCGGTGGGTCGGCCGCGCCGTCGCGCCATTCTCCGTCCGCCACTCTCCGTGTGAGGCGCGCGTGCCTCGCCCGCAGGCGAGCCGCGGGCGACGCGCGAGTGGCTGCTGCGGCAGGAGCGCGGCTCCTTCTCCTAATTAGTTATCAACTATTAGCTAATCAGTAGCAGCTGCTGCGGCAGGAGCGCGGCTCCTTCTTCGGCGACTGCCTCGCCGAGCGGCGCGTCGAGCTGTGCGAGGGGGCGCGCGTGATTCTGCTCGTCAACCTCGACCTCGAGGCGCCGGCCGGCGAGACGAGGCTACTGCTACAACGCCGCGAGAGTCACCACCAACAGCTCCCCCCCCCCCCCTCCCCCCCCTCTCGAGGCGCCGGCCGACGCCAAGCTGTGCAACGGCTCGCTCGGCGTGGTCGGCCCGATGCCCGAGCCGGACGAGGTGGCGGCGGCGCTCGAGAGTAAGCTGAGCGAGCTCGAGGCGCTCGAGGCGCAGGCGGCGCAGGCGCTCGACACAGGCGGCGAGCGCTCGCGCGACGTCCTCATCGGCCGCGTGCAATACTACCGCGTCTACCGGGCGCACCTCTCCCGGTGGGCGCGAGGGAGGGACCGCGCCACCCGCCGCCCGCAAGAGGAGGTGAGGGCGGTCCCCTCGCACGAGCTAGGTGGCTGCACGCGGACCGAGCCGCGGGCGACAACGTGGGCGGCAGCGGCGGCTGCTGGAACAGGCCGCTGCTAGTGCCGCGCGTCCGGTTCGACAACGGCCGGACAGAGCTGCTGCTGCCCGGGATGCTCTCGTCCGAGGTGGTCGGGTGCGGCGTCTGCTACCGCCTGCAGGTGCCGCTCAAGCCGGCGTGGGCCGTCACGATACACAAGGCTCAGGGCATGACGCTCGACGCCGCCGCCGTCCAAGTGTCGGGCAGCGCCGCCTCCGACGGCGGCGCAGCCTGAGCTGGAGGCTTGGCCCCCCACCGCGGCTTGGCCAAGCCGTAGGCTGCTTCGACGACGGCATGGCGTACGTGTCGCTCTCGCGCGTGCGCTCCCTCTCCGGCCTCCGCTTCCAGAGAAATTGCCCGACGTCGCTCGAGTGCGCGGGCTGCGCCAGGTGCACTTGCCGCCTGACACCATCCGACATCCGCGCCTCGCCGTCGGTCCGGCTCTACTACCGCCTCGCCGCCGACCTTGCCGTCGCGTCGGATGCGCTGTGCGCGGCGCTGCTCGCGCACGGCGCCGAGCGCGAAGACCTCGCTGCGGCCGCGGCCGAAGTGTCGGCCTCTGGACCTCGCTCGCTCGCGGCGGCGTCGCGCGCCCTCTCGGAGCGGATCGACGTGCCGCTCGGCCTGCGCAAGAAGGCGCACGAGACGTTTGTCGCCGCGCAGGCGCTCAACCCGGGCGAGGTGGGGGCGACTTGCGGCGGGTGGGCGCACCACGCGCCAGGCACCTGCATTCGGGGGTGGTGGAGCATCGCGCCGCAGTGTGACTCGAAGGCGTCCCGCCGCTAGCACTGCACTGTTTTTGAGGGGCGGAGCACTTGGAGTGACTTGGCTCCCTGCGCGTTTTCTTCTTCGTACAACACTGAGCACGCGGCATTCCTTCCTGGCCACAAGCCCTCGAGCGTCGTGCACGCTGGTTTTCTGTGGCTGAAGCCTTTTTTCGTGGGTCTACCTGTGTAAAGAAAGAAAGAAAAGCGATATACCCAAACGAGGGATGGGGGAGGAGGACAGGGTCTACCTGTGTCCTTCCCCGGGGCCGATACTTGGAGCACTTGGAGTGCAGTCGGCAGAAAAGAAAGAAAGAAAACAGACAACCCAAACGAGGGGTAGGGGAGGAGGACAGGGTCCACACCTGCACGAGCAGGATTTTGGAAGGACGATCAGGGGCTTAGGGGACCCCTAGGCTTAAAAGGGTGGGCCCTGGGGCGCCTGCGGCTTAAACGGCTTAAAACTTGCCATGGCAAGTTTTAAGAGCTGCTGGGCCGCCAATTCCTTAAACGGTCTTAAACGCTTAAACGGTGCGGGAGAGCTCCCGAGGTCGATGGTCCGGGAGGCTCCCGGTAGACGCCGGAGGCCGGGAAGCTGGCTACAGTCAGCTAGCACGCGTCCCCTATGCGAGTATGGCTCCTGCCAGTGCACCAGACTTACAGATGTGTCTTCAGAGGCGGGTTTGTGCCTAATAACGGCAGTATTGGAGAAAACGGCGCGGAACCCAGCGACGCGTGCCGGTGAGGCCGATTTTCTTAAACGGTCTTAAAAGAGGGACCCCCCGTGCCTGCAATCTCTTAAATGGCAAGTTAAGCCCCCAAACCTCCTCGTTTCTTAAAAGGTCTTAAAAAATCCGGCCCTCAGAACCCTAGGGGTCCCCTAAGATCAGGGGGGACAGGTGTGGGCTCTCCTGCTCCTGACAAGGGACACGACAGGCTCGCAGCGCGGTGCACGGTGGAATCCCAACTCCACTGGCGGTCTCAACATCTCAGTCTAGCGACCTTCCTCCGGCTTCTCACCGGCAGTCTCTCACTACCACGGGCACACTGACACAGGGGTGGCAGGAGCGGCGGCATGAGTCTCCCACATACTATGCGGGCCTCACTAGAGGTGCGGCCTGCGCGTGTCCTCGCCCTTGGGAAAGTCTTGGGGGGGGAGGGGAAGGGGCTGTGTGTCTGTGCATGCATGCATGTGTGTGTGTGTGTGTGTGTGTGTGTGTGTGTGTGTGTGTGTGTGTGTGTGTGTGTGTGTGTGTGTGTGTGTGTGTGTGTGTGTGTGTGTGTGTGTGTGTGTGCGTGCGTGCGTGTGCGAGCGCGCCGCGAGCGCCGCAGCGCCGCAAACGCGGGCGAGCGCCGTCGGCAGCGCGCGACCGCCACCCAAAAGCGGAGGTACATCAGGAGCCGCAGCCGGCCTGCTCTACCAACCCCGCAGCCGCGGCATTCCTTCCTGGCCACAAGCCCTCGAGCGTCGTGCACGCTGGTTTTCTGTGACTGTGTGGCGAATCCCTTTTTATTTTTTCGTGGGTCTACCTGTGTAAAGAAAGAAAGAAAAGCGAGATAGATACCCAAACGAGGGATGGGGAGGAGGAAGGACAGGGTCTACCTGTGTCCTTCCCCGGGGCCGATACTTGGAGCACTTGGAGTGCAAAAAATAAAAGAAAGAAAACAGACAACCCAAGGGAGGGATGGGAGGACGGCACGCCGCCACCACACAGGGATTTTAGGAGCGCGCAGAAATTCTTCTTCCACCATGCCGAGACGCGGCGCGCTTGTCGCAAGCGACTTGGTCGCAAGCTGAAAGCCGTCAAGCGACTTGGCGCTGAAAGCTGCTGGTGTAACGCTGCCAAACGGTCGCAGACATGCCAAGAATCAGACGAAGCACATTTCTGATCCTGATCCCGTTCTGCAGAGCGGTGGAAAGGGCAGTCGACGACTGCATTCCGCCGTACTCGCACGTCATCGTCTCGCGGCGGCCCATGGACGGTGGATGCCCAGAGCCCACAGATGGGCCGGCAGGCTATTCCAGCTCCGACTTCTGTTGGGAGATACGCAACCAGACGGCGCCATTGGAGAGTGGCACCGAGCTGAAGACGGTGACGGCGCTGCCCGAGCCCTGCTCGGGCTCTGCGGGGTCGATCGTGATCGGAGCTCCGGCGACGCTAATACGCACCGGCCAGGACAACGAGGCGTTTAACCGTGGCACCGCGCTGCTTAGGAATTGCGAGCTCTTCTCGCGGATGATCGCCCAGCGGAGCGGAATCAACGTGGGTGGTCAGAGGTACGGCGTGTCGTGTGAGGTCCTCAACGACAACTACGACCCGCTGCAGGTCACGAACGCTACATCGTGGCTCGCACACGACAGGCGCGTCGATGTTCTGCTCGGTCCATACGGGTCGACGATGACCAACTTTGCGGCCAAGGAGGCGGTGATCGACAACAAGGTTCTCCTCTCCTCGACGGGGTCCGACCCAAACATCTACGCTGAGGCTCGCACGCTGGCCGAGGAGTTCGGCGCCGACGCCGCTCCTCTCGCCTTCGGAATCATACCCAAGTCCACCGCCTACATCAAGCCGGCGATCGCGGCCGTCATAAGGGCCGCGAAGGAATGCGATGATGCGGACAGCGGCTGCTCCTGCGGCGGCAGATTTGACTCATCGTGCTCAGAGAGCCTCCGGTTCGGCTTCCTTATCGAACAGGACGACTTCCCTCTTGCCGCGTGCTCGGAGGAGGCTCTCAGATATGATGTGGCGATCGGCGAGCCGGTCAAGGCTGAGATTCCTGCCAGGCGCGACGTGGCCAGCACAGCCGAGCACAGGCGGAACATTAGAGACGCCCTCGAGAAGCTGAAGGAGGAGGGGGTGAGTGTCGCCGTGATCTGCACCTACGAGCTGGGCGCGGACCTGGCTCCGGGAGAGATGGAGGCCATCGGATTCTCCCCCCTCGCAGCCATACTCCTAGGCCGATACAACCTGCTTGAAGGTACTCTTCCTGGGGACGGACAGTGGCAGTATGAATACTTCCTAACGACACAGCGCTGGCACCGTGCGCTCAGCCCCGATCGACGAGGGACCTTCTCGAACTGGACCATCGAAGAGTACTTCACCAAGTTTAACGACCTATTCTCCGAAGATCGTTTTCACAGTGTCGAACGAGATTCTACGGGCGCGGCGACCTTCGTCTCCATGTGCGTGTTTGCTGCCGCCCTCGAAGAGGTTGGTACGGTGAACGACACCGCGGCTCTCGCAAATGTCATCTACAACTCCACGGTGAGCGAGTTCTTTGGACCTCCGGGCCTTGTATTCAGCCCTAGATGCCGAACATCAGACCCTGTATTCAAACTAGACCCTGCTCGATACCGTCCTGACTCTGGTTCATGACGTAGGCCTTCAACGGAGATGGCCAGATTGAGGAGTGGGACTTCCCTATCGTACAGTTCCCGCCCGGGACGGCAAGGATTGGCTCCGATACGCGAGGTTGCCGGCAGGATGGCTCTTGCGCGCCAGACTGCCCGCGGGCGAGTCTACCCCCTAATCAAGCTCCGGAGCCATTCGCGCAAGGCTGCGATCGTATTGTCTACTACGCGCCTGATAACGTCTCCATTGTGGTATTCCCAATGCCCACTTGGCAGCAACGCAGGTGCGAGTACGAGGGGTGCGAAAACGGCGGCAGCTGTACGCCCGATGGACGTTGTCGATGCGATCTCCTCTTTCACGGCAGCCGTTGCGAACTTGACCGCAAAGTCGTCATCATTCCCACGGTCTGCGTCGGCAGCCTCTTCGTAGTTATGATAATTGTGCTCAGCGTCCTCCTCCGCCGCCGGGTCAGGCTGCAGCAGAAGCTTACCCTAGCGGAGCAATCCTACGCACGTTGGGAGCCTCCAAAGGTGCGGCGGCGGAGCACGAGCAAGTACGTCTTGGCACTGCCACAGCGCGCCATCGACAAATTCCGCTCGCCAAAAGGGGGCGTGGAAGCGCAAGTTGCTGCGCGTCTGGTCACCGCACCGGGCTTGCCGCACGGCTTCTTCTCGTGTTTTCTGTCGCACGTCTGGGCCAGCGGGCAGGTGTGGCCGCGCTCTCGGACAAGCGATGGGGGTACGCCGTCCCAACCCTCCCGCCCCCCTGTCGCAGGACCAGGCGCGCTCGCTCAAGGGACTGCTCCAGCGATACGTCAAGAATATCGCTGTCTTCTTAGACGTGGACAACCTGGAGGAGCGACTGCCGCGCGTCGCCGCACGCCGACGCCGGCTCATGACGCCGTCGCGTGTGCACTGTAGGACCTCGCGCGCCTGGAAGAGTACGTGAGCAACTCGAGCGCCGTCATCGTCTTTCTGACCGGCCACGTCAACGACGAGGGTGTCGCGGTGTCGGACTACATGAAGAGCAATAACTGCCTCGTCGAGCTCCGGGCCGCCGCCGCGCACGCGCGCCCCGTCATCCTGCTGCTCGAGACGGACCCGACGCACGGCGGAGTGTCGCTCGAGACGCACACCGCCGCCTGCCCAGCCGACCTCCTTCCGACCGTCCTCGGCGCGCCGGTCGTGCCCTGGCACCGCTTGAAGGATTTTCAGATCTGCTCGATGCTGCTGTTGATTCAGCAGCTGGTGACTGCGTGGGGTGCTCCGGGCGCGGACCGTACCATCTTCATCCCCGAGGACAGGCTGCGCAGCAGCCCGCTGCCGCAGCTTCAGACAAAGCGCTGCTATCACCTCTACCATTCGGCCAGCAATCCGTGTGCGGCCGCGATCGCCGCCGATTTGGAGGCGCAGTTTGTGTCGCCGAACCACTCGGGGCTGCGGACAACAGCCGAACCGGAGCACCTTCGCCACGATGCCTGCTCCGCGTTTTTGCTCTACCTGAACGCCGAAACTTTCGCGCCGGGGGCGCGCGCCGACACGCTCGTCAGCGAGCTGGAGGCGGCGCTGGAGGCGGGCACCGGGCTGCTGCTGGCGCACGAGCGGCGCGACGGCTGGCGTCGGCTCACGTTCGACGAGATCATCGTCGCGACACCGGAGGGGCTCAGGACGGCCGGCGCGTACCGGCGCATCGCGACAGCCCTGCACGGCGGGCGGCACTATGCGGTCTCGCTGAGGCTGCTGCTGGACGAGCTCGACCTCCTGATCCGGCGGCCCGTCAGGAGCCACTCGCTGCTGGGCACCGTGCTCCGAAAGACCAGTGAGGCGGGCTCATCATCGGGTGACCTGATGCGCCGACGAAAGCGGGAGAGCCCCCGCTTGGGGAGCAGCTCGGTGTAGGTAGGTGTATGTTAGCCAGAGTTCTGACTGTGGTGGGGGCATGTGCATGTCGTTTCATGTCCATCATGTCTGTACGTTTGCTCGTGTCGAGCCGTGTTTTTCCAGGACAAACACATACAGTGGTGAACGGACACTGAGAACGGCGACACACACGGGAGCCGGAGAGCCGGTCCCCTCGGCCCTCGCCCATGGGATAGGAAGAGAGCAACAGCAAGCGGACCAAGAGCCCGTGAAAAGAAAGGAAGGCGCGGGCGGCACGTCAATACAAAGGAGGGATGTGGGCATGGAGATGTACAATGTGGGAGAAGGACGGGTCCCCAACTCGCAGAGCAAGCATCTTGGAAGGACGACAGTACGACTGGACTCCGCGTTTCTTTTGATGTCGTCGCTGTCTCTCCTCGACTCGACTGTCTCTGTGCTTGTGAGAGAGAGATTTGGTGTGTTGTGGCTTGTGCGCATGCTTGTGCGACACTTGGTACTGGCGTTTTCGACTTCGGTTTCTTTCGTGAACGGCGGCAAATTCAGATTCGTCGTTCTCGCCGACCAACCGACGCTCCGCAAGGGGCTCGCGCCCCGCTCGACACCGCCAGACCCCGATGAGCCTGCTGATGGACAGCAAAAGGGACGACGCATTGCTGCGTACCGCTTTGCTGCTCCTGCTCGCCATCGTCGTGCTGTTTCTCGCAGTGCGGTTCCACGCAGTGTCTCGCAGTGGTGGCCAACAGCAGCAGTCCTTTGCTCGCATGGAGGAGGAGTCTGACGCCGCAGCTGCGGGTGCACGGGCGCATGATCGCGATCGCGTCGGCGGGCCAGACATCGAGGCGACGGCAGCCGACGGCGCTGTCCCATTCGGTGCCGTTGCGCGTGCCCGCCCGCCGCGCGTGGGCACCGAGAGGAGCGAGGCGGCGGACGAGCTGCGCAATCTGGCGCGCGAGAAGTCTCCCATGCACGCGCGTCGGCAGGTGTGCCGCACTGACGGGGCGGAGAGGGGCACGGGAGGGGCAGGCCCCGTTGCACACGAGCGCCCTTCTCACGCCCGCGCCCCGCGCCTCTCGGCTGCCGCACAGAGGTTCGGCCGCATACCGTCCAAACGGTCCGTGTCGAAGGAGCTGTCGAGCTACTGCGCCATGTGCAGCGCCTCGCAGGAGGGCCTCGCCTCTGCCGCGGCGCACGGCGCCGCTCCACCAGCCGCGGCCGAGGAGGCGGCCGATGCGAGCGAGCCGAGGAGCGACCTTGCGAGCGGCAGCAGCAGTGTGCAGGGCAGCGTGCCGCTTCCGTCCCCGGTGAGTATGCCGCCCAGCCTGAGTGACACCTTCAAGGACCCGCGGAGAGGGGCGAGCGGCCACGGGGCGAGCGCTGCGGAAGGGCAGGCGCCAGGGGGGGCAGCTGCCCCTCAAGGGGGGCGAGTGGGCATAGCAGGTGGCGCCTCGTCTCCCCCGCGCCTCGCCCCGTCTCCCCCGTGACTCGCCCCGTCTCGCCCGCCACATTCCCCTCAATGCCCACACACTCCGCACGACACTCCAGCTCACACACGTCTCCCCCCCCCCCCCCCCCCCACCACCACCACCACCACCACCACTTTACCCCCCCCCAAAAAAAAGGCCCCCCCCCCCCCCCCAACCCGCTTCGCTTCTGACGCAGCTCACGCCCCCCGCCGCGCGCTCCCCAGGCATCGACCGGCCACTCACACTGCCGCCGATGCCGAGCGGCGGCGGCAGCTCCCGCGCCTCTCGCCGCAGCTCCCGGAGCACCGGCAGCCAGTCTCGCACCACGACGCCCCGCTCGACAGACACGTCGCCGCGCGAAGTGGCTTGCATCGTGGTGCGTGGCGCGAGCCGGGCGGCTCTCCCCTCCCCCCCCCCCCTCGCTCCCCGCTGTTCCTACCGCCCTGCTGCCCCCTCGAGGCCGCGGCCAGACTGCGACCTCCTCTCTCTCCCCCCCCTCGTGTGTGCAGGTGCCCACAGGGCTCGCCCTCGTCGCTCCGGAGGGACCGCTCACGCCGCCTGGGCCGGGCGCCCCGCCGCCCACCCCGGCGGAGCAGAACACGTCGCTCGCATACGCCGTCTCGATGAGGGAGGAGGAGTCGGAGGACGGCGAGGGCAGGCTGGTCGCGGTGGTGGAGCCCACCTTCGCAATGTACGCAGCGGCGCCGAGTCCCGAGGGCACGGTGCGCATCAACGGCGCGGAGGTGACCGAGTCGCCGCAAGGGACGGTGCGGGTCAAGGGGCCGCCGCCCGCGATGCAGCGAGGCGCGCTGCAGATGGCCGCCTTGCGAGCCGCCTTTGCGATGGGGCAGGACCTGCCCGAGGACGCGGCTCCGCCCTCGGAGGACCCTTCTGAGGAGTCCTCTGGCTCCTCCTCTCTGGGGTTGCGTGGTTCTTGAGTGAGAACTTTCCCAAATTTGGTGCAGTACCTTACTCTCTGTTTCACCACATGCTCCATGCACATGCGACATGGTCCATGCTCATGGTTCATAGCCTAGACCATGGTCCAAGAAAAAGGAATGTGTACAGATTGTGTGTATATCTTACTTCTTACGGCTCTAGTTCCGGCATGTTGTGCGAGTATATGGGACAAAAGCGTCGAAAATGTCCCAAAAAGCGTGTCTCGAGTTTGTGGCAGCCCCACAGCTGGCGCGCGCTGCCAGGAAGCACCGCTCGCGTGTCGGCCGCACTCCCTGGCACCCAGGGAGTGCGGCCGACCGACCAGACCGAGTAGGCTCGACGCCGCGCTCGCTGTGGGGCTGCCACAAACTCGCCGCCGAACGTGCCACCGACGGCGTCCTGGCGGAGGTGGTGGAGTTTGAGACCTGAGGCTGCGGAGGTGACGCCTGAGGTACCGGCCCGTGCACGGCGACTCAGCCGGCGACCGCCACGGGCTCAGACGAGACTTGTCGACGCGTTACGGCTCAGCTTCACCGTGGTCCTCGGGCGTCTGTCAACGTCAGGACCACCCATACAGCTCGCGGGTTCGAGGTCGCAAGAGCCAAGATGGTGGCGTTTGGACATCCCAACCATCACACAAGACAGCCTGTAGGTGGTGGCGGGACGGCGAAGTGTTTGTGGCACTCGGCAGTAGGCACCCGCGGCACGGCCCCGCTGTCGGCTCTCGCGGGCTGCGGAACCGGCCCCAGAGGGGGACGGTCCGGGCGAGTGTGGCAGCTTCTGCGCTAGTATGGGCAGCCTCTATCATAGCACTACTGATCCTGGTCATTAGAGCTGCCAGGGATAGCGTCAGGGGCCGGTAGGAGTCAAAACCCCTCATATTTGAGACATCGTGTCCCATATACTCGCACAACGAGCCTTCCGTGACCTCCTGGAGTCCTGGTGCGCCGCCCGTCGGTCGACGCCCTCGCCCCTGCGCTCCACCAACGACGCCGTCGCTGTCCTCGCCGACGTGACCGTGATTCGAGGCCGCCCATTCCAAGGCCGCCCATCTCACGCCATTGATGCAGCCGAGATGCAAAATCCAAAACCGCCGTTTTTTATGAAATACGAGCGATCCCCCTAACCCCCCCCTTGGACGCGTCCACCCTCCTGTACGCGCCACGTGGTACGCGCGCTGTGACCTGACACCTGTGTTGACTGTTGTAGAAAAGGTATATCTAGAAGGGTTGTTGCACGACGCTCCCGAGGTCTCGGAGAAACTTAGGGTACACGTATATGGGCCATGATGTCTCAATATGAGGGGTTTTGACTCCTACCGGCTCCTGACGCTATCCCTGGCAGCTGTAATGACCAGGTTCAGTAGTGTTGTGATAGAGGGTGCCCATACTAGCGCAGGAGCTGCCACACTCGCCCGGACCGTCCCCTTCTGGGGCCGGTTCCGCAGCCCGCGAGAGCCGACAGCGGGGCCGTGCCGCGGGTGCCTACTGCCGAGTGCCACAAAACACTGCGCCGTCCCGCCATCACCTACAGGCTGTCTTGTGTGATGGTTGGGATGTCCAAACGCCACCATCTTGGCTCTTGCGACCTCAAACCCGCGAGCTGTATGGGTGGTCCTGACGTCGACAGACGCCCGATGACCACGGTGAAGCTGAGCCGTAACGAGTCGACAAGTCTCGTCTGAGCCCGTGGCGGTCGCCGGCTGAGTCGCTGTGCACGGGCCGGTACCTCAGGCGTCACCTCCGCAGCCTCAGGTCTCACACTCCATCACCTCCGCCGGGACGCCTTCGGTGGCACGCTCGGCGGCGAGTTTGTTGCAGCTCCACAGCGAGCGCGGCGTCGACCCTACTCACTCCAGTTGGTTCGGCACACTCGGTGGGGTCCACCGAGTGTGCCGAACGCGCGAGCGGTGCGTCCTGGCAGCCCGCGCTGGCTGCGGAGCTGCAACTCACTGGAGACATACTTTTTTGGCACATTTATCATTTTCAATGTACGTACTTATAGCTTACTGGGAGAAAAGAGAGAGGGGGTTGTGTTCTCTAGGCCCCTACTCTCTCTCAATGTATGTGGCTCTTACGTACATTCCCGGAGGAGGACTGCTGACAGGGTTTGCGATGAGGAGTGCCCCGAAGGTTTCTCGGGGTTAGATTTTCGACGCTTTTGGCCCATGCTCGTGCAACACCCCAGAAGAATAGAAAGAAGACATCGAGCATCGAGGTTAATGACTGCACTCCAAGTGCTCCAAGTGCTAATCTAGTCCTCGTCGAATGAGATCTCCTCCACCTCGTCGCCCTCGTCCGCACTCTGAGGCTCCACGTGCCGCGCCGGCTCGCGCCGCGCCGGCTCGCGCGCCGCGCCGCCAGCCGAGCGATCCGCGGGCGGTGGCGTCGCCGCGAGCGCCGCGCGCCACCGCCGCTCGGCGTCGCTGCCCACGCCATTGTTGGAGAGGTCGAGGTGGGCGAGGGCGGCGTTGCGGCGCAGCCCGGCGGCCAGACCTTCCGCGCCCGCGTCCTTGATTCCGTTGTACCCGAGCCTTAGCCGCTGCAGCTTGTCGTTCGTCTTGAGCGCCTCGCCAAGCTCTCTCGCGCCGCGGTCGAGCAGCCCGTTCCACTCGAGGTCGAGCGAGGCGAGGGGGCAGTCCGCCGCGCCGAGCGCCGCGCCGAGCGCACGCGCGCCGCGCGGTCCGACTCCGTTCCACGCGAGGGACAGCTCCGAGAGGCGGAGGCTGGAGGAGAGCTTGCTGCCTCCGCCGCCGAGCGCAGCAGCAACCGCCTTGGCACCCTCGTCGGTGAGCCGGTTGTGCGCGAGATCGAGCGAGGAGAGCGAGGCCGGCAGGGCGGCCAGGAGCGGCGCGACGCCCTTGTCGCCCAGCCGAGTGTCGGCGAGGTCGAGCGACTCGAGGGCGGTGAGCGCGCCGAGCGTGCTGGCGAGCAGCTCGACCGCCTCGCTGCTACCGAGGAGCTGGCCGCGCAGGCCCAGCCGCTTGAGACCTCCGCCCACCGCCTTGAGCTTCTCGCCCAGGAGCGAGCGCAGGGCAGCCGCGCCAAGCACGCAGTCGGCCGGCGGCGGCCTGGCAGCCTGCTCCGATGGGCGTTCGGTGCAGTCGAGCAGGAGTGCAGTGCACCCCGCAAGGCTGTCGCTGTCGAGGTCCGGACGCGAGCAGTCGCGCGAGGAGGCGAGCGGGACCGAGAGGAGGACCAGGAGGAGCGTCCGCGCGGCAGACGCCAACGTGGGCACCATCGACGAGCGAGCGAGTTTTCTTTTTCTCGTTTTAACCTGCGTTACAGAGTGAAACAGCGCCTTTTTTCTTTTTCTGGCCCGCTTCATGCATGGAGACGAGCAACAGCATCGACGACGCCCTCGCCAGAGCAGAGCGCGAAGCGCAGATTTCTCTGACGGAGGCGCGCGTCGCGCGCGCGCGTCTGATGAACATGTCATCGCGCTACGCGCGGCTAACAACGGATGAGCCGTATGTGGCAGAGCCGTCGGAGACGGAGATGCACGAGGTGTCGCAAGCGCGCCAACCAGAGACGGGCGCGGGCGAATCCGCGGCGCGCGAGTTTGTGTGGGGCGTTAGCGTCGCCGAAAATGCTGAGAGCGACGGCGGAGGTGTCGGCAGCAGCGGCGGCAGTGCAGGCGGCGGCGGCAACGGTGGCGGTGGCGACAGTGGAGGGCTGGACGCCTGCACATTGCTCGCTCTGCTCGAGGCGCGCCGCTCCACACACCTGGCTCCCGCCAACGCGAGGCGGGGCAAAACCCTGCCCCGCCCCCCCAATAGGCCAACCCGGAGAGCGACCCGGCCACCCTCGCGGACGTGCTGGAGGCGATGCTGCCCTCGGGCGGGGAGGCGGAGGCGGCCTTCCCCTTGTCCGTCGCCCACGCCGTGGCGCGGCTGCGGGGCGGCGACTTGGCGGCGCGAGAGCTGCTGGAGGAGATTGCGGCGGCGGCGGTGGCGCGGGCGCGCGAGGAGGGCGTCGAGGAGGAGGGGGGCGTCGGGGAGGAGGATGCTGTGGTGGAGGGCGAGGGCGAGGGCGAGGGCGAGGGCGAGGGCGGAGGGGGCGGGGAGGTGGAGGGCGCGCCTGCCTCCGCAAGAGGCGGGCTGCGGCGGAGGCCCCGCCAGTACACGCGGCTGCCGCTCTCCTCCTCGTCCGCCTCGCCTCCCGCCTCGCGCGACGGGCGGCGGCGGTCGCGGCCCCTTCGGCTGGCGTCCGTCTCGTCGCGAGGGCGGAGGGCGGCCAGGCTCTGCGGCCTCGCGCTCTGCGGCCTGTCGCTGCTGGCGTGGCTCGCCGCCCGCACCTTCGCCTACTTTTTGCCTCCCCTCTCGTACGGACTGGTGCAGTCTCTGATCTGGAGGAGCGTGCGGCGGGAGGTGCTGACCACGCCCGGCCTGCACTGGCGCGGTCCGTGGCAGCGGCTGCTCCTCGTCCCCTCGACGCGGCAGACCTTCTCCTGGGCCGGCGCCGACGCCCTCCCCGCCCTCACCGGGGACGGGCTCAAGCTGGTCGTGCACGCGCACCTGCAGTGGCGGTACGACCCGCGCACGCTGCGAGAGCTGTACCTGCTCCTCCCGCCGCCGGAGGAGGGGGCGGCGTGCCGCGGAGCCGTCTTCCGCTGCGGCGGAGGCGAGTGCGTCCCCGCATCGTACGTCCGCGACGGGGAGGAGGACTGCACCGACGGCTCCGACGAGGCGGCGGGCGCCGAGGCCGAGGCGGAGGGCGGCGACTCGCCTCTGCTCCGGCCGGCGGAGCGGGTGATGCGGCAGGCGGCGCGCAGCGCGGCGCTGACGTCTTTCGCGTCGCACCCGCTGCATGCCTTCTTCGGAGACAAGGCGGCCGTGTCCGAGGAGGTCCGCACCTCGCACCTCTCCCTCCGCCCCCTGGCCCCTGGTCTCCCTCCCCGGGGGGGGGGGGCGGTCTCCCTCCCCTGCTCCCCTTCCACTCCCCCCCCCCCCCCCACACACACACACTCCCTTCTCCCCCTCTCCAGGTCCGCCTCGCCGTCGCGCAAGCGCTCGGCTCCTACGGCGTCCTCGTCGAGGCGGTGCAGCTGGTCGCCGTCGAGGTGCCGCCGAGCGTCGACCAGATGCTGATGGAGGCGGCGGTCACACGCCTCCGGATCGAGCTCACAAAGAGGTACAAGGCCATGTGGGCCGCCGCACTCCTCATCCGCACCATGGTCGCCGAGCAGAACCGGCGCGCCACGGTGGCGGCGGCGCGCGGGGCAGCGGCGGCGGTGAGCGAGGGCGCAAAGGCGCGCGCTGTCCGGACGGGGCAGACGGTGCGCGCCGAGCTCGAGGCGCTGACCAACCTGACGGGCAGCCTGCGCACCAGCGCGGTCGAGCTGCTCTCGTGCGCGCGACGCGCGCGGCAGGCGGAGGCGTGTGCGCGCGGGCGGGCTGAGCGGCCCTCGCCCTCTCGCCCTGTAGGTACCGCTGGCTCGACGGCCTGGCAGCCGCCAAGCGTGGCCGCGCGATGCTGGTGCGCAGTGGCGGCGGCGGGCCCGCGGCCCGCGGAGGCGCGACAAAGGGCGGGCGACTCGGCGTCGGCGACGACGGCGCGGTGAGCATCCTGCCGGCCGGCGCGAGGAGACGGTCGTGAGGTATGCACGCGGTTTTGGACACGGCGCTCTTGTTGGCGAGGGCGAAAACCAGTATCAGACGGCGAGCCAGATGAATCTCTCACACCCAGGGCGCTCAGAAGAAAAACTCGCAACCCGGAGACTTTTTTTTCACGATGACGAAACACGATGAACCAAACACCGCCGCCGCCCGAGACGATGGACGTGGACGGCTGGCAGGTCGTGATCGCCGACGGGCACGCGGTGCTGCCCGAAGGCATGACGCACCTCCACCTGGACGACAAGAAAGAGAAAGCAGAGACGCGAGGACAGACCACCTTGGCCAAACTCCTCACCAGCCAGGCATTCGAGGGCGACTCTGAACTCCCGCGGGGTTTTAATCCCCTCGCACGAATTCTTTTCTTGGCTCAAGGCCTCGCGCGAGCGCGCCTGTAGCAGCCATGGCATACGAGCCGCCCAGCTGGTCGACCGTCCCGCCTCCCGGCTCGTACACGCTCGAGATCATCCGCGACGGCGTGGTCATAGAGACGGTGGACGCCTCGACGCGAGCGCACTACATTCTCGGCCGCGACCCGGCCGCGGCGCACGTGCACCTGCCGCACCCGTCCGTCTCGCGGCAGCACGCGGTCATCCAGCACCGCGACTCGGGCGGCGTCTGGCTCATGGACCTGGGCTCGACGCACGGCACCACCATCAACAAGAAGGCCTGCCCGTCCCGAGCCTTCGTCGCGCTGCCGCCAGGCGCGATGGTGCGGCTCGGCTCGGGATCGCGACTAGTCACGCTGCTCGGGCCGCCGGACGAGGCGGGTGCGAGCAAGGCGCCCGGCGTGCCGCAGCCGCCGCCGGTTCGGACGCGCCCGGGAGAGGCGCAGTACTCCGCCGCGCGGGCCGCGCAGCGCGCCGAGCGAATCGCGGCGACGACCGGGCGGTCGGCGGTGAGCGCGGACGACCTGCATGGCGGCGGGGCGGGGTGGGGGTTCGACGCGGACGCCGAGACGAGCCGCGCGCCGGCGGAGGAGGCGGCGCTCGACGCGCTCGAGCTCGAGCAGCTCCTCAAGATGGCGGACGCAGCGGGGCTGCCACTGTCTGCGCGCGGGCGCGTGCTGCAGGAGCAGCGGTCGAAGCGGCAGGCGAAGGCGGAGAATCTGTTGCTCGAGGTGGGCCGCATAGCCGCAAAGGAGGTGGAGGGGCTCAGCGAGGGCCAGGCCAGCGCAAAGCAGCGCGCCGAGGAGCGTGCCGCAGAGCTAAACGAGCAGGCGCGCCTCCGCCCGCCTCCGCCCGCCTCCTCCCGCCTCCGCCCCGCGCCTCCGCGCCTCCGCGCCTCCGCTCCTCCGCCCCGCCTCCGCCCTCCGCCCCTCCCGTCTCTCGTTCGCCCTCTGCGGCCGCGCACACGCACGCACCGCCACTCACGCACGCGGACATCGCCCCTCCCGCGAGGACTCCTCCCCTCGCTCGGTCAGCACACGCCCGACAACCCCCGCAGGTCGCGTCGCTCGGCGAGCAGCTCGCAGACATCATCCGGGAGCAGCTCGCCGCCGCCAAGGGGCTCGTCGACGGAGGCAAGTCGCGCCGCGCCGCCGCGCGCGCCGCCGACAACGACGAGGACGACTTCTTCGACCGCACGGCGAAGAAGAAGCGGCGCGTCGGCGCCGCCGCCAAGGGCAAGGGGGAGGGCGGCGGAGGAGGCGGAGGCGCAGAGGTGCTCGACGAGGCTGCGATCGAGGCGCGGCTGGCGGAGCTCGAGGCGGACGAGGTGTCGGCGGGGCGGCAGCTCGCCGCGCTCGAGGAGGCGCAGGCGGCGAGGCGCGCCGGCAGCGGCAGCGGCGACGAGCTGGACGGCTACATGCGCGCCAACGCTGCCGAGGTCGCCTCCAACCGGATCGCGGAGCTGCGCCAGGCGGCGGAGGCGCGCGAGGCGGAGCGGGGCACCCTGCGCAAGCTCCGAGAGTTTGTCAAGCCCGCGCTGCCGCCCGCCGCCGCGCCCGCCGCCGCCGTGCCCGCCGCCGCAGCGCCTGCAGCTGCGGCGTCCGCCTGCGCAGCCGGCACTAGGGCGCGGCCCGCCGACGCGGCTCCGAAGCCAAAGGCGCCCGGCGGCGGCGGGAGCGGGCTGGGCGCGGTGCTCGCCTCGATCCGTGCCGAGGGCGGCGAGGGCGGAGGCGAGGGCGGAGGCGAGGGCGCCGACGTGGGCCAAGCCGCCTCGATGCGGCCGCCTCCCTCCGCGCCGAAGCGGGCTCCTGCGAGCGGTCCGCCGCAGGGCCCGCGCCGGGTTGGCCCGAGCATGCCTCCTCCGGGCTCCGCCCCGGGCGGCGGGCTTGGCCGCGCAGACGGCGGGCCGGGGCCCGCCTCGCTCGGGCGTCGCGAGGGCGCGGCGGCAGCCTTCGCCTCCGAGTACGCCGCGGCGGTCGAGCGACTCCAGAGGGGTGAGGACGGGGTCGGCGCCGACGCGGGCGGCGACAGCGGCGGCCGCGCTCCTCCGGCGGAGGAGGGGAGCGGCCTCGGGTTTGGCGCCGCTCGTCCCGACGCGGCGCACGTGCGCACCGTGCGCGAGACGCACTTGCGGCAGCAGCAGGAGCAGGACGAGGCCGCAATGCCGGCTGGGCTCAACCAGATGCGAGCCGGTGCCCGACTCGCGGCCTCGCGCCTCCGCCGCCGCAGCGCCGCCCCGCCCACCCCCCTCCGCCCCGCACGCAGGCGCGTCCACCACTTGCGCGGCTTCGGCGGCGCCCAAGCCAGCCGCACGGCGCGCCCCCGGCGCCATCGGGCCCGCCCGCCCTCCGCAGTCGGCGCCCCGAGGCGGGTGGCGCGAGGCGGCGGAGGCGGGCGGCGAGGCGGAGGGCGGGGGCGAGTGGGTGCCGCCGGCGGACCAGGACGGATCCGGCAAGACGTCGCTCAACGCGCGGCTGGGCTACTAGCCGCCGCGGGCGGGCGTTGTGAGTCGCCACGGCCCGGTCCGGCGTCCGCGTCCCCTCGCGAGTACTGACAGAGTCGGTGGCGAGTTGTGTCTTGTGACCGCCACGGCGGTCGGCGCCAGCGCGCACACGCCCACGCGCTTTTCTGTGACGGTTCGTGTCGCGCGTCTCAGAGCAGGGCCAGCGGCCGCTGCCAGCGCGGAATATCTGTTCTCTCTCGCTCTCATGTTGGTGTTGCGACAGGTGTATCATGCTTTCCATCCATGCACATACACACGCACACATCTGAGTCGTCACTGTTGAGGGGTCAACAGATGGGCGGCTCTCGCGGCTGTGCCGTCGCCCCTCTACTGCGGCAGGGGAGGGCCGGAGGGCGAGCGGGTCTACCAGCCCCAGGAGCGCTTGAGGGTGACGCGCGCCGCGTCGAGGAGGTTCGCGTCGGCCGACTCGAGCGGCACGTTGGCGGTCGCGGTCCAGGTCGCGCCGTCCTCAAAGTTGTCGTCCTGCAGCGACACCTCGAGGTCCGACTTGTCGGGCTTGTACGAGGCGGCGAGCGTCTGCCCCGCCTTGAGCTGGCGGGTGAAGCCGACCTCGAGCGCGCCGACCTCCTTGCCGTCGACGTCGTAGTCGAACTGCGCCGAGACCTTGTCCTTGCCGTTGTTGAGGCCGGACATGAGCTTGACGCGCGCAGCCTTGGCCTTGACCATCCAGCTCGGCTGCACGTCCACCTTCTGGTCGCCGAGGTCGACCTCGCGCTGCACCGCAACCTCCGTCAGCTGGTCCTCCGTGTCGTACTCGGCCGACAGGGTCGTGCCCTGCGACGAGGCCGTCAGCCGCACGTCGGACCGCTTGCTCGCAAAGTCGCGCCGCAGCTCGTACGAGACCGAGACGTCGTCCGCGGAGTCGCCCTCGACCAGGTCGCCCGAGAAGGAGACCTCCTTGAGGAAGTCCTTGTTCGAGTTGTAGTCGTACTTGGCCGCCACCTTGGTCTTGAAGTCGCCGATCTCCAGCCCCTGCGTGGCGGGGAGGGGAGGGGACGGTGAGAGGCGCGCGCGGGGCGAAGACGGGGAGAGGCGGTGGGCGGGCGGCGGCGTGGGCGGAGGTGGCGGGCGGGCGGTGGGCGGAGGAGAAGGGCGGGGATCGGAAGGGCGGAGGAGAAGGGCGGGCAGAGTAGTTGCGGTGTAGAAGGTGCGACGTTCGGCGTTCGGCGATGTGGGCTGAGGAGTGGCGGCGTGAGCGGACCTTCTCCCACGAGGCCTTGAGGTTATCGAACTTCCCCGCGTCGCCACGGAGGTTGCCGGTCGAGACCTCCGCGCGGTTGGCCGAGAGCGAGAGCATCGAGGTGGCGAGCATTGTTTGAGCTGCAGGAGGGGTGCGCAATTTGCAAGGGTGTGCCGGGTCGCGATTGACGCGACACGCCCCAAACGCTGATTGTTCAAAACAAATCGCTGGGCTTCTCCATTATGTGATGTTACGGTTAAGGTGGCACGCCCTGCGAGCGGGGCCGGGCGGGGTGCGCACTGTCCCTCTGTGTTCGTGTGCGTCGCCCATCTCTCCCTGGAGATGACTGCTCTATTTATTTATTTATTTGTTACGGTTAAGAGGAAGATTCGCGCGAGCTGCGGCCTGCGGGACCGCCGGGACGGCGGGCGGGTGATTGCGGACTCGTCGGACGCCGCCACTTTGCCGAGACTTTCTTCTTTCTTCGAGACTTTTGAGGGAAGCGAGATCGCGATCGGCCGAGAACCGACATGGCGGGCAAGAGGCCGTCACGGCCATGATCGTGGCTGCCGACGCCGGCGACGACCCGCTCGCGGACCGCCGCGAGGACCGGGAGGGGATCCCTGCACCCTGGGTGTGTATTCCGAGAAAAACAAAAAAGAAACGAGCGGTGAGGGAGAAAGAGAAAGCGGATACAAAACAAGAACACAACGCACTCTCTCACATGACAAGCGATCCCACGACAGCGATTGTGGGGTCGCCCGCCACCGCCGCCATGGTCCATGGAGATCTGCTGCGTGTGGGAGAGATTTTTCACAATACCAAACAACTCTAACACTCACACGTCATTTGGAGCACTTGGTCTTGGAGTGCAGTCATTAGCCTCACATCCAGGGCCGGGGAGCTAAGAAGCGCACCCAGCGGGCCGGATGATCGGGATCGGGCTACGGGCTAGAGAGCCCTAGCCCCGGGGGTGTGCGTTCGCAGGGCAAGGGCCTTAAAGTAAACACGGATCTCCGAGGGTTAGCTCCGCGCTCCGGGTTTCCCCTAGCAGCAGAACGCCCCCTCTACTCGGAGCTAGTAAACACCAGACACGGACACGACGCCCACCCACCCCGTCATTTTGGCATATTTTTGGGGCCTGGAGCCCTGTTCACGCGCGCGCAAGACGTGCAGACAGGGTTGCCACCCTCCCGGGCCAGGCGTGCATCGGGCGTTCCGTACAAAATGGCAGCGGAGCCCAGCCCCAGCGACGCTGTCTCTTCCGTCTGAGCGGTGGGTAACTCTCTGGCCGGGCTTGGGCCCTCTCGGGCTGCTGCGAGCTGCGCGATGCGCGTCCCCTCCGCCGCACAACCGTACCCCTGCCCCTCACCCTCCGACTCCGCCGCAGGACCGGTCTGGCGACACGGGACGACCGCCCAGAGCAGCACCACAGACCATCCCGACCCCGTGGGGGGCGGGGCGGGCCAGCGAGACGTAAGAGCGCCCCTCCCTCCCTCTCGTGGCGCGTCCCCTCCTTCCTCCCAGCACCCCGCCACCTGGCTCGCCGCCCCGTCGCCGTCGCGAGTCAGCCCTCGGTCAGGTACTGCCAAAGGCGGCCACAAGCAGCACAATCGCTACCAGCGCCACCGCGCCGGCGCTGGTAAGCTCTGCGGCCCGTGTAGCGGCCCCTTAGCCCGTCGCCCGGGGCACATGGCGCCCTCACACCGCTCCTCGCCCCCGTGTCGCAGGCCAAAATCGTCGACATCGCGTCGGCACTCTCGACGGCGCGCCTGGGCTCGCAGAGGGCGGCCTGGGCGGTGCAGGGTGGCCGGGCTGCCCCCCTCCCGCGTTGCGCCAAGCCTCGGGGGTCGGGGAGACCATCTCGGGTCGCCGAGGGGGCGGGTCGGACGACCAATCCGGCTGCTGGCCGGAGGACGTCGCCGGCTCCGCGATTTTGGGCGCCCCAGGCGCCTCCATCCGGGACGAGCGGCGCCAGCTGGTAGCTGGGGCCGCAGGGCGGTCAGGCCAACACCGTATGCTAGTCGGAGTGGATTGTCTAGAGGTGTAGAGGTCGGTAGAGTGTCCGTTTGTGGCCTCCGGACGGGCTCTGGTCGGGAGCCCGCCGGGCCGGCTGAGGCTGTGTGTCCGTCCACTATGGACCCAGTGGTGGCTTAGAAGTGCTCTCTGGGAAGTACACATCCTATATAACACCTGCGGACCGGAAGGTACCGCCGTGGCGCCGCGAGGGGCCGTCTAAGCGCCAGCGTGACCCTTCCCGGGCCCCCTTGGGTGGGCTCCGGTGCAGGGTGCACCCGGCAAGGAGCACGCCGTCAAGGGGACGTGCCGCGCGTGGCGCCGCGCCTGGAAGGAGACGCTCGCGACGCGCGAGCGGCCGCGCATGCTCGTGTACGGTGGCGCCAATGCTGGAGGCATCCCACTCAACTCGGTGGAGCGGTACGACCCGTCAACAAATGAGTGGGGGGAGGAGGCTGTGGCGCCGATGCCAACGGCACGTTTGCTTCCTGCCATTGCGTTGCTGGATGGCAAGTTCTACGCGACGGGCGGCATGAACGCCGGTGGCGCACCTTCACGCTCGATGGAGAGGTACGACTTGGCAACGAAAGTATGGGAGGTGCGGGCGCCGATGGCAACGCCGCGCGAGCTTCACGGCCTGGCGGAGCTCGGCGGCAAGCTTTATGCTGTGGGAGGCCTCGACGACGGCGGCAATAGCCACAGCTCAGTCGAGCATTACGACCCGGCGCTAGACGCGTGGGAGGAAGTGGCGCCGATGGCGGCGAGGCGGACTACTCCCGGCGTGGCGGAGGGTGCTCGACGCGGCAAGCTGTACGCTGTGGGAGGCTGCAACAGCGTCGTGGGACTTTTCTCGTCGGTGGGAGGCGGTGGCGCCGATGGCTTCGGCGCGGCAGGGTCCTGGCGCGGCGGTGCTCGATGGGAAGCTGTACGCTGTGGGTGGCGCCAACGATTACCTCAACTTCAGCTCGGTGGAGCGGTACGACCCCGCCTCGAATGCGTGGGAGGCCTTGGCGCCGATGACGGTGGAGCGATACGCCCCCGGCATAGCGGTGCTCGAAGGCAAGCTGTACGCGGTTGGCGGCGTGAGCGACGATGACGACGGCCCGATCGACACCGTCGAGCGGTACGACCCAGCCGCAGATGTGTGGGAGGCGGTGGCGCCGCCGCTGGCAGCTTTCCCTTCGTTGCCTCGCTGTAGTGGATGGAGTACATTGGAGCGATTGGTGATTGGAGCACTTGGAGCACTTGGAGTGCAGTCATCATCTCATCAACCGCACATCCAGGGCCGGGGGGCTAAGAAGCACACCTAGCGGGCCAGATGATTGGCATCGGGTTAAAAGAAAGAAAGAAAACAGACAAGCCAAGGGAGGGATGGGCAAAGGGTTGTTGTTTGTTGAAGGGTTGCGGGCGCGGCTGAAAAATTTTTGGCGATGGCCCTGCCCAGACTACTTTGGCTCGCTCTCGTCGCGGTGGCGTGTGTTGCCACCGCCACCGTACACGCCTCCAGCCCAGTTGCTTCCTCGCGTGGCGGTCCACCCGCGGCTGTGGTTCTGCGGGGTGGAGCGGCACCCACCCAGCAGCGGCGGCGGCGCAAGAAGAAAGCACGGCGGCCGCCTCCTCCGCCGAGCGCCTCCGACCGGCTCCGCACCGCTCTGAGCGGCGTGGCGGAAGGCGCCTCGTCGCTCTACAGCGCGGTGGAGGCGCGCGCGCGCGCGGCGGCGACGCCGGCGGAGGAGGAGGAGTACGAGGAGGATGAGCTTGCGGCCGAGGGAGGCGACGGGTCTGCTGAAGCGGAGGAGGAGGAGGAGGAGGAGGAGGAGTGGGAGGAGGAGGAGGAGGAGGAGGAGGAGGCTCCAGCAACGCCGCCGCCGCGGCGCGCAGATTCGCGGCTCGCGTCGCAGCGGGCGGCGGCGCGGAGGACAGTGGCGGCGCGGAATGCGGCGGCGGCGGCGCAGGCGCAGGCGCAGGCGCAGGCGGCCGCAGCGGAGGAGGACGCGCCCGAGATGTCAATGTCGGAGAAGGGCGCCTTCCTCGGCTCGGTCGCCTTCTCGCCGGTCGGCGTGCCCGGCCTGGTTGTCGGCGGAGCGCTCGGCTTCGCGGCGGGCTACTTTGCGGAGCAGGCCGAGCCGCGCCAGCGCCTCCCCTGCCATGCCCGCACCCTCCCACCCCTGGGAAGGGAGACAGAGAGGTGTGCTGACGAGCAGGTGGATGCAGCGCGAGAGCACGTGGCGCGCGCGTATGCGACGCGGGTGCAGCGCGAGCGGCGCGTGGAGAGCGAGCGTGCAAACACGCGCAAAGCCCTCGAGGCGTGCTCTCCCTTCTCTCCTCCTCTCCCCTCCCTCCTCCCCTCCTCTTCCTCCTGCTCTCCCCTCCCTCCTCCTCTGCCCTCCCTCCTCGCACCCGGCCCCGCACACCACCCCTCCGAACGCCCTCTCCGCCCCTCCGCCCCTCCGCCGCACAGGCGCTCGAGACGGTCTCTGTCCAGTCCGACGACCCGGAGGAGGCGGCGCGCACCTCGGCCGACCTCACCGCCTTTCTGTGCGCGCCCTGCAACACGCGCTGCGCAGACTGCTCCGCGAGGATCAAGCGGCCCGCCGACGCCTGGGTCTCCACCTCCCTCGGAGTCGTGGTGTGCGTCAACTGCGCCGCCGCGCACCGCTCGCTCGGCACGTCCGTCTCGCGCATCAAGTCGCCCGTCTACGACCAGGCGCGCGCCGCCACCGCCCCGCGGCACCCGCGTCCGCAGCACGCGCACTGACCGCCGGCCGACCGACCCGCCCTCTCAGTGGGACGTGCCGATGGCGACGGCGCTGCTGGCAAAGGGCAACGACCGCGGCGCGGCAGACTACTACGCCACGCCGCCGGCGCGCATGCCGGGGCCCAAAGCGCCGATGGAGGAGCGGCGCGCGCACGTGCGCGAAAAGTACGTGCGGCTGCGCTGGGCGACGCCGGAGCTACGCGCGGCGCGGCAAGAGACGCTGGCCAAGAGGCCTCGCAAGGCGGCCGGCGCGCGCCGCATGGCGAGCCTGTCCAGCGACGCGGCGTGACGGAGACAGAGTTTAGACAGATATAGAGCTGCAGACTTGAGGGCAGGGGGCGAGGGCGGCATCCGCGTAAGCCTTTTCTGTGCCTTTTTGTATGCAATGATACAACAATCAAGTGAGTCACTCCCTCTCGCTGTGCTGCGGAGACCGCTCGATAGGATCTCACCCAAATCGGACAATGCGTGCACGTGCCCGTGGTTGCGCGCGCGAGGCGGGGACCAGAACGGACACCGCCGGCGCAGAGAGGTGTGTGCTCCAGACGCAAGAGTGCTCCCTAGAGTGCTCCTATAGCCGTAGTCCCTGCTCGTCGCGCCCGCCCGCCACAGCGCTGCCCGAACGGCAGCGCTGCTCTGCACGGCTCAGGGCGGCGCGCGGCACACCGCAAACACGCTCGCGGCTCAAGAGCCGGCAAGCAGCGCGTGTGTGCTGGCAAAGGGGAGACGTCACTCGTCGTGCTCGACCTTTTGCTTTTTGGAGCCCTTCTCCTTCGAGTTGTTCTCCTGCGCGGGGCCGGGCGCGCGCGGTCGGCGCGATGCGGGGAGGGCGGGGGAGGGCGGGGCGGGAGCGGGGCGAGGGGCGGCGCGCCGAGCGGATGACTCGGATGAGGAGGTCGACGCGGCGGCCGAGCTCGATGGGGGTGCGCGACTTGAAGAGCCAGTCGAAGCGAAACTCTGGCCGCAGCCGGACCTCGCGCTTGAGCTCCTCCCACCTGCCGTAGCCGAGCTTGTCGGTCATGCAGAGGAGGAAGCGGTCCTCCTCCTCGTTGAAGAGCTTGCCGCGGTTGTTGCCGTACTTGAGCGTGAGGTTGTCCCACGGGTTGTCCCCCGCCGACTTGACCTTGTGCGTCAGCAACGTCGCCATCTCGGACTTCTCCGCAATCTTCTTCTCGCCCTCCTCGATCTTCTTGGAGACCTTCTCCCAGTCGCCGATGTGGGTCGGTCCGAGCCGCCAGAACGCCTCCGAGTAGGTGGTCACCTCCTCCAGCGTCTTCGTGCCGAGGAGGTCCTCCGCGATGTCGTTCAGCTTGTCGCGCCCGTTCTTCTCGGCGCTCTTGATGAACCGCGAGTAGTCGTTGCGCGTCCAGTCCTTGAAGCCGGCCGCCTCGAGCTCCTCGAGCTCCTTCTTCTCGGCGATCTCCTCGGGCGACGGCTTCTCGTCGGGCACCTCCTGCCCCGCCTCGGAAAGGCGCGACGCCGCCTTTGTGCGCTTGAGCTCGCGCTGGTATTCGGCCTCGTGCAGCTCGTTGATGCGCTGCACGTTGAAGAGCTGGTAGTCCTTCATGTCGGGCACCTTCGGCCGCTTCGGCTGGCCCGGCTCGGTGGGCGGCTTCGACGAGGACGCGCCCGCGCCGCGGTACGCGTCGCGCTCGTTGTACGAGACGGTGGAGGTGCGCTCGCGCTTGCCCATCGAGTCTTGCATCATTTCGATAAACTCGCGGTCGCCCTGCTGCGCCATCGACTTGTAGTCGACGCCCTCGAACTCCTGAAAGTTGACCTCGGCGTTGGAAAAGTCGAGCAGGTCGCGCTTCTCCTTGCTCTCGAGCTTCTGGCTGCGCTCGGCGGTCAGGTTCTTTGCGCCGGCGAGGATCGTGTCGATGTCCTCCTCGGTGACAGAATCTCCCGCGCGGAAGATCTTGTCCGCGCCGTACCGCACCGCGGCGAGGGCCTCCTCCTTGCTGAGCGCCTACGGGACGTGCCTCGGGCGTGTCTCGGACGCGCCTCGGCCACCCCTGGAGGGCTCGCTGCGTGCGGAGCGCCTTTTGCTTCTCGGCGAGCCGGCCCTGCTGGATGACGGCGTAGTCCATCTGCAGCTTCTGCTCCGCGCGCTCGACAACCTTCTCCTCGATCGAGTCCTGGGTGACGAAGCGGAAGACCTTGACCTCCTTCTTCTGCCCGATCCGGTGCGCGCGGTCCATCGCCTGACGAGGCGGTGCGAGAACGCATCACCAACCAACTGACGAGAGGCTCCCCCGACTGGCGCGCGCGGGTCCGAGCCTGCAGGTCGGCCTGCGGGTTCCAGTCGCTGTCGTAGATGATGACCGTGTCGGCCGTCTGCAGGTTGATGCCGAGCCCGCCCGCGCGCGTGGAGAGGAGGAAGAGGAAGCGGTCCGAGTTGGGCTTGTTGAAGGCGTCAATCATCTCCTGCCGCTCCGGCCCGCCCGTCGACCCGTCGATGCGGCAATAGTAAAAGCCATCCTCGTGCCGGTAGGCGCAGTAGTCCTAAAGGGCGGGCGCACGAGTGCGCGCGCGCGTGTGTGTGTGTTGGGGGGGGGGGGGGGGCATGTGTGGGGCGCGCGCGGCTGAGTCTCGGCCGCATCTCGGCCGCATCTCGGCCGCATCTCGTCTCGGCCGCACCTCGAGGATGTCGAGCACGCGCGTCATCTGCGAGAAGATGAGGACGCGGGAGCCCTGCGACTTGAGCCGCATGAGCAGCTTGTCGAGCAGCGCCATCTTGCCGGCGTTGGTCACGAGGTGGTCGCCAAACGGCGGCAGCGACTTGTCCTCGACGCCCTCGAAGAGGTACGGGTGGTTGCAGCACCTGCTCACGCAGGCCGGCTGGCGTGAAGAGACGCTGCTCCTGGGCTGTGCGAGGCGAGGAGGTGCGGGGGGCGGCTGGCGCACTTGCGCAGCTGCATGACGAGGTTCATGAGGCGCGACTTGTTCTGCGCCAGCGTGGCGGAGGAGGAGGAGTACAGCGCGTCCATGTCCCGCTTGAGGATGTTCTTGTACTGGTCGCGCTGCATGGGCGACAGCTGCGTGTATACGATCAGCTCCGTCTTTGGCGGAATGGAGCCCTCGACGTCGGCCTTGACGCGGCGCAGCAGGAACGGCTTGAGCACCTTGTGCAGCTGCGAGATCACCTCCTGCTCGACCTGCTTGTCCGTGATGTCGAACCACGAGTTGAAGTCGTCGGCCGAGGTGAAGATGTCGGGCAGCAGAAAGTTGAGGAGCGCCCAGAGCTCGTGCAGGTTGTTTTGCATGGGCGTGCCCGTGATGAGCAGCCGCGAGTGCGACGAGAAGGAGCGCAGCACCTGCGAGAGCTTCGACTCCTCGTTCTTCATCCGGTGCGCCTCGTCGACGATGATGTAGCGCCACGAAAACTTGCGGAACGCGTTCGCCTCGCGGATGATCATCTCGTACGACGTGATGCACACCTCGAACTTGTCGGGCTGCAGGTTCTCGGCGAGCATCCGCTCGCGCGCCTCCTTGTCGCCGTGGAAGAGGAGCGTCTTGAAGCACGGCGCCCAGTTCTTGAACTCGCGCTCCCAGTTGGTGAGCGTCGACTTTGGCGCGAGGACCAGGTACGGCCCGGTCAGCTTGCGCGCCTGCCACCGAGGGCGGCAGCGGGTTGGACGGCGGCCGGGGCGAGGGACGGGCGGTGGGGGCGGCGACAGCGGCGGCGGCGGCGGCAGCGGCGGCGGCGCGGTGGTGGCGCAGGCGGCGGCGGTTGCGGCGAGGGTCGAGCCAGCCCGCGGCGGAGGGAGCGAGGGGAGACTGCGCGGGCGGGGAGGGTGGTGAGAGCCGCGCCTCGCGCAGCCAGCAGAGCAGCGAGATGGACTGCAGCGTCTTGCCGAGGCCCATCTCGTCGGCGAGGATGCCCGAGATGCCGTTCTGGTAGAGGTTGGCGAGCCAGTTGAGGCCCTGGACCTGGTACGCCCGCATGTTGCCGTGGTCCTTGTTGATGATGCCCGGCTGCGACACAATGCGCACCTGCGCGCGCAAGAGAGGCGGCTCGGAGCGAGGGGACGGATTGGGCAGAGGGCCAGGCGGCGGCTCCGCTCGCGCGCCTTCTCCTCAAAGCCACCCGACGAGGAGCCGCCGCCGCCGGCCTCCTCCTTGTGGTCCTTCATCATCTCCTCGTCCTCCTCCTTCTCGGTCTTGCGCTTCCGGTGCCGCGCCTTGGCCGACGCGTCCGCCTCCTTGGCAAGGCCAAAGTGCTTGAACAGGTCCGACTGCCCGAGCAGGAAGTTGAGCCGCTGCTTGGCCGACTTGGCCTAAATCGACAAGGCGCGCACAGCATGAGAAAGACCGGGTGACGTGTTGCGGGTGACGTGTGCGCCCGCTCCGCGCGGCGCAGGCCTTGTCGCTCTCAATCTCCTTGTTCTGCGCGACGAGCGTCTGCTCGGCCTGGGTGAGCACCTTGGCCTTGCGCTCTTTCTTAGGCGCCGCCGCCCGCTCCTCCACCTCCTCCTGCAGCCGCTGCCGCTTCTCCGCGCGCTCCAGCTCGCGGTCTGACGGGCCAGACGCCGCAGAGGCGATCCGCGCCTTTTCGGCAGCATCCTCGGCGTTGAGCCCCGCCTGGTAGGTGGCCATCTCGCGGTCGTGGCGCACGCGGTCGTCGGCCGCCTGCCTCTCCCACCGCGACCGGTCCGTCACCTCCCCCCACCGCTCGCCGATCACTTTGGAGAGGGTCGAAGTGTCTGTAGCGCCGACCTCCTGCGAGATGGCGTCGCGGTTCTCGCGCGCGAAGCACATGTAGGCGGAGAGCGCCTGCGGCGACAGGCGCGCGTCAGCGCCGCGGCCGGCTCACGCGAGCGGCGGGGCGAGCTCTCAGCCGCACCGCTTTCGGCTTTGCCAGCGCCAGCACGTCCGCCTCGCCGACCTCAAACTCCAGCGCGATGGTCTTTGCGCTCTGCTTGTCAGCGAGCATGCCGCGGATGCGCTGCTTCTCGGCGTAGGAAAGCGTCATGGCGGCGGCGGAGGAGAAGGGGAGAGGGTCCAGTCAGCAGGCTGGCAGAAGACCGCTGATGCTTTGCTCGCGCCAAGCCCGAAAAGCCGCCCGTGTTTTTCTTCTTTCTCGTCTCGTACTTCCCCCCACAGGCCACGCCACGGCAGAAGACACTTCTTGACCGCTGCCAGGCAGGCAGCCCAACACAGTCCAACACACTACCAAGTATTCTTAGCTTCAAGCCCCCCTCCGAGACTGGAGACACCCACACACCAGTAACAGACCGGTGGGACTGCCCCCCGCCCCCACTTACTTGCCCTGACTGCACAGGATAGCGTGCCCCGAAGACGGCGACGACGCAGCGGGGGACACCACGCGAGGAAAGGGTGCGAAGGCAAGATTGGGGTGCTGGGTGGTGGGACCAATGAGGGGGGGGGGGGCGGGGGTCCTGGGGGGGGGCGAAATGAACACAGTCCAACACAGAGGAGGGACTTTCAAGGTTCAATCTTCCAACAAAACCCCCTCGCACGACACTGACCGCTGCCAGGCAGGCAGCCCAACACAGTCCAACACACTACCAAGTATTCTTAGCTTCAAGCCCCCCTCCGAGACTGGAGACACCCACATGGGACGTGCGAGTTTGAGCTTCCTTGCACTCGGCCGCCTTTGATCACGTCGACTCGGTCCCAAGCATCGGCCAGGATCTCGGCTCCAAAACAATCTCCCACCAAAGGCAGTCTGCGCCGTGGCCGACTCATGCACACCGCTTTCGGCTTTGCCAGCGCCAGCACGCCTCGGCTCGCCGACCGACCCGTCCGTCAAACTCCAGCGATTCGATGAGTCAGGGAGGGGGGGCGAGCCAGCAGCATCACGAGGGCGAGGAGCCGATGACGAAGACACAGAGACAGCGCCAACGCCAGCGGAAGCAGGGATCGCACCGGAAGCCACCCGTCAAGTTCAGACGCTAACCGAGAGAATGGTGACAAGAAAGGGGGGACTCCGAACGGCCGAGCATGCCCTCGCATGCCGGACAATTAGGTAGGTCATAGACCTCCCCCCTCCCGATGAACGTGGTTCAGGGTGGGTGTTCTGTTCATAAGTCATAAGGCTACTTACTTGTAACCACGATCGATGCGAGGACGCAAGTCCACCAAACTCGGCCATTCCAACGGCCAGACCGCTCGCTTAAGGCTGATTGGCTAGACGAGCGGTCTACCTCCAACAGGGCTGACTGGCACAACGAGGAGAGGTCATCCGGATGTGGCGGGACGCCGCCGGGCACCTGGTTGCTCTCCTCCGCCAGACAGCCCCTCCCGACGGGGACGCCACCACCCTCGCCCAGGGATCTACAATGCTGTCTTAAGGTCCGACAGGTTCGGCACCGGGCACCGCCTCGGTATACAAAATGCGCCTGCGGGCGGACCCTTACAGATCACAGATCACAGCGCGATGGTCTTTGCGCTCCTCTCTCTGCTTGAGCAGCACTTGAGCACTGGATAGGGTCGATTCCGCATGGTACGGGGCCCCTCGATCGTCTCGCCCTCCCTCGTTGGTGTGTTCACGGGGGGGGGGGGGTCATAACAAACACGGTACAGGATCGAGGTGCACGCACGCTCGCTGCTGAAGCAGTGTCGTCCCCCCTCTCCAGGGTTAGTGCTCACTAAACCTGGCACGGGTCAGCTCGGGTCAAGTGAAGACGAGTCACCCTAACCCACGGCTAACCCAGCGCTAACCCCGCGCGACTGGGGGGCATACGTCAGCATGGGTTTGCGCCGGGTTAGGGGTGGGTTAAGGCCGGGTTAGTTAGTGCCAGTGATGGCCCAACCAAGGCGCAAGGGAAGAGGAGTGCGCTGAGGGCTAGGCTGAGGGCGCCGTAAGTTGTAGATCCTGTGGCATGAGACTGTCCCGCTCGCCATGCGCCCGCGGCTGTGATGTGGGTGCGCGTGTCTGGAGTCTGCGTGCGCGCGTGAGAGGGGCGGAACGAACGAGCCGCCGTAACCCAAGAAAGACTAACCCGAGACTAACCCGACCGAGCGAGACTAACCCACGGCTAACCAGGGCGCTGCTCTTTCTTTTGCATACGTAAGGCCGCTAGGCCGGGTTAGTTGCGGGTTAGTGCCGGGTTATTCCCGAGAAAATTCTTTCGTGCCGCAAGTGGTGGGTGGGCCGCGGGCAGCCGCAACTCATCATGACGGCGGCTGCACCGCTCGCGGAGGCCTCCGTGGCGCTCGAGGCCGGTAAGGCCGGCGAGGAGAAGCGTCGCCCGCAGACGCGCAGTGCGAGGCCGCCGGCGGAAAGCGGAAACAAGAAGGCGTGCGAGCAGACGGCCGCCTCGGCGTCGGCCGACGCGCCCAGCCATCATGTTCGCATCGCAAGCGGGCCGCACAAGGACCGCCGCGGCATCTTCGCCTCCCAGAAGAAGGGGTGGACCACGGTGCTGCTGGGCGGCAAGGGAGGATTTATGGAGGAGGTGAGGGTGCCCACGAAGGACGTGGTGTGGCCCAGTGCAGCGAGAGAGCCGCCGAACCAGGCTGGCAAAGCCACCGTGCCGCCGCGGCGGTCGCAGAGAGGGCGGGGCGAGGCGTCCGGCGAGGAGGGCCGCGGTCCCGCAATCGTCCCGGTTGGCTCGGTCGGCTCGGCGGGCTCGAGCGACGGAGGGTCGCCCGGCGCGCCGAGCGCCGTGCCGGGCGGACAGGGCGTGGGCGTGCGGTGCCAGTCCTTGCCTCCGGGGTGGGTGGCGCAGGAGCGGCAGGGGTCGGCGAGGACTTACCGCGTCTTCTACGGCCCCAACGGCGAATACGCCGAGTCCGTGCCGCAGGCCTGGCGGGGCGACCGCGAGAACCGGCACGGCCCGGCGGGGCGAGAGCTGGCCGAAGTCGCAAGCTTGTCTCAGGCAGGCAGCGGCCTGGCTTCAGCAGAGGGCGCACAAGAGGCGGCGGAGGCGGAGGTGCCGGCGGCAGCAGCGGAGGCGCCGGCGGCAGCAGAAGAGGCGCCGGCGGCAGCAGAGGAGGCGGCGCCAGAGGCGGCATCAGAGGTCCGCCGCATCGTCAGCAGCGAGTACGACAGCGACGGCGAGAGCGACGCCACCGGGCTCCAAGACGAGGGCGAGGCCGCAGATGCGGGGAGCGACGCCTCGCAGCGGACCGAGGCGGTGGCCGGCGAGGGCACGGGCTCGGAGGTGGCGGTGGAGGTGACGGCTTGGGCGAAGGAATCGCTCGCGCTGCGCGGGGCCGAGCACCGGCCTGAGGCGGCGGACGCCGCGGGGGGCGCCGCCGAGGAGGCCCGCGCTCCGGAGGCGGCCGAGGGCAGCGCACCGCCGACGCGCATCGCGACGGAGCCCGCGGTGGCCGAGGCGGAGGGCGGAGGGCCGAGCCAGTCGGCAGGCATCACGGCCGAGGCACAGCAGCAGGCGCAGGCGCAGCAGCAGGCGCAGGCGCAGCAGCAGGCGCAGGCGCCGGCACAGTCGTCGCAGGAGAGCACGATCCAGGGCGGGGAGGCGCTGGCGACGGAGAGCGACGCTGCGTCAGAAGGGGGCGAGGGGGGCAGCGGCTTGGCGGCAGAGGGTGCGCTTGCCGTCGCCACGGCGGCGGAGGCGGAGGTTGCAACGGGGGCGGAGACGGCGGCGGAGCCGGCGGCTGGTGAGCCTGAGATCGACACGCTGAAGGCGATGACGAGCGAGGAGGCGGTGGCGCTGGCGAGGCGGGAAGGGATCGAGCTGGTCGAAGATGAGAGCTGTAAGAGCGGGTACAAGGGCATCAGGCGTGCAGCAAAGGGCAAGTTTGCGGCGACCGACGTGCGCGATCCCGCAGGCGGCGGGCAATATCACTACATCGGCCTGTTCCGGAGCAAAGAGGCGGGCGCTTTGGCGGTGGCCCTCCGGCGCAGGAGGCTCGGACCGGACGCGGCGGCGGGGAGCGGCCAGGGCGGCGGCGGCGGCGGCGGCGGCAAGAGGAAGAGCCGCTTGTCCGAGCCGCGCCTACCCCGCGCTCTGCTGGGGCTACTTCCCCAAGGCACGGGTGGGGTCGAGTTCGCGAGCATGGCGCCGTTTGAGGGCGGGCGGCAGCGGCGGAGCTCAACCGCCAGCGGGTCGCAGCTCAGCGCCGCCGAGCAGCGGGGGAGCGCGGCGCCGGCGGCGGCGCCCGCCGCAGAGGGGCGCGCGCTGCGGCAGCGGTCGAGCGGGAGCAGCTCTGAGGGCCCAACGCGGCCCAAGCGGCAAGGCGCGAGCCGCAGCTACGTGGAGGCGCCGGACGACGAGCCTGTCGACTCGGCGGAGGAGATGGAGGAGGAGGAGGCCGCGGAGGAGGACACGCTGCAGGCGGAGGTGCCGGACGTCAAGGAGATGACGAGCAAGCAGGCGCTGGCGGCTGCGAAGCGTGACGGGATCGTGCTGGACAAGTCGGGCAAGACTTCCAGCGGGTACCAGGGCGTCACCTTCCGTCAAGAGTGCGCGGCGAGGCCCTACGCGGTGACGGACAGGCGGACTTACCTCGGGGCGTGCAGGAGCGCAGAGGGCGGCGCTCTGCTGCGGGTGCTCTCGCGGAGACACGCAGTGGAGGAGGAGGAGGAGGAGGAGGAGGAGGAGGAGGAGGAGGAGGAGGAGGAGGAGGAGGAGGAGGAGGAGGAGGAGGAGGAGGACCCGATGGAGGACTCGGAGGAGGAGCTGGAGGAGGCGGGTGCGCGGGCCGGTGCAGAGGACGACGAGGAGGAGGAGGGCGGCAGCGACGACGAGGGCCTCGATTTGGAGCGCTCACAGCGGAGCAGGTCCGGCTTCATGGGCGTGGTCGAGAGGGAGTCGGCTGACGGGACCAAGTTCTACGACGTGGAAGTACAGATCGGCGGCAAGACTACGACATTGAAGCGCTTCGACGACAAGATTGCGGCGGCGAGGTTTCGCGCGCGGTGGCGGAAGCGGCACGGCTACGGCCCCAGCAAGCCGCCGCCGAAGAAGCGCGGGCGGCGCTCCTCTCCCTCCGACTCGCCTCGGCCGAAGCGCCAGAGGGGCCAGAGGGTGTCGCCGTCGCCGGGCGCGACGCCCGAGCGGCCCGCGGCCGAGGCGGCCGCGCGCAGCCACCCGGGCACCGACGACGGCGAGGAGGACGCCGCGCCGTTCGCGTCGTGCTGGGACGCGGACTCGGTCGCCGCGCCCGCGCCGCCCGACGCGGATGTCGAGAGCGAGATGCGTCGCCTCTACCTCGACGGCATCGGCAAGCTGGTGGATGGCGAGGAGGTCAAGGCCTTTGTGGCGGCGAAGAACGTGGTGGCGTTGGATTCGCTTCCCACCGGCGAGCTGGCGCGGCTCCTGACGGCAACCAACTCGAAGAGCGAGCTGCCGGCGCTGCCGGAGCACCTCACGCCGCTCACCGCGCTGGTTGCGCCGCGCGAGGCGCTGCGGCGCATCAAGAGCGGCGAGTGGACGAGCGAGATGGGCCCGATGGTGACGCGGCCAGACTCGGAGAGCGACGCGCTCGGCATCACGCGCCCTCCGTGGCACAGCTTCGCCGACGTCCTCACCAAGTCGGGCGAGAAGCGCAAGATCAAGCCGGGCGCGATGCTCAAGTGCGCCGACCTGAACGGCATCAGCAAGGGCGACCGGCGGGCGGGCCGGCTCTTCTGCGACTCGGCCGGGCCGCGAGCAGCGTCTCTTCACAGCCACCGCTCTGCGAGTAGGCCGACTGGATCTTCCGCGAGTTCGCCAGGCCGCCCGAGGAGCGGGAGCACCTGCTCAATTGCATCCACAAGACGGAGGCGAGCGACTTCTTCGGCACGATGGGCGACGCGCCCATCGCGAGCATGCCGACCGCGCTGCGCGAGGCCAACCTCTCCGAGCCGCTGGCGGGCGTGCGGGAGGGCTGGTGGCGCACCCCGACGGGGGCGGGCCTCGTCGCTGGAGAGGGTGTCTGCGCCTGCTCCTTCGGCTGAGAAAGGCTAATCGGCTAATTAGGCGGGACCGCCCCTCTTCCTCCTCTTCTCGATGCAAGGCGCCTCGCGCCAGAGCGGCCCGCGCGCCCCGCCCCTCCCCTCCCCTCACGCTCGCTCGCCTCGCCGCCAGGCACGTCGATGAGCTACCACGTCGATCTCTGGGCGACTGCCGTCCTGTACCACATCTTGTGGGGCGCCAAGATGTTCGTCTGCGCTCCGCCGACGGCGGTCAACCTTCGGCTGCTGCAGCAGTGGCAGGAGCTGAACGAGCCGTCTGAGCACCCGGACTTCCCGGGCAAGCTCGAGTCCGCGCAGGTGCTCACGCTGACTGCCGGCCAGTCGCTGCTGCTGCCGAGCGGCTGGATTCACGCCGTCTTCACGCCCCTGGACTCGTGCGTGCTTGGCTGGAACTGGCAGCACAAGCAGCAGCTGCTCGTTAATTATTGATCACTAGTCATCAATCATGAGTTCTTGAGTAATAGGCAGCCCAAGCAGCAGCTGCCGGCGGCGCTCAGCATCGTGCGCGCTTCGTGGGGCGAGATGACCAAGGAGATCCGCCAGGAGCAGCGGGCCTTCCCCATCAGCGAGCTGACCAAGTCGATGTGGACGCTGCTCGTGGCGACCGGACGGCCTCCGCTTCGCCGCCGCTTCGCTTCGGCCTGAGCCGGGCCTGTCGCGACTGTAGGAGTTGACGCGCGAGCTGGGGCGAGCTGGCGCGCCGAGCCTCACGCGGCAGCAGGCGAACCTCGTCCGGGCCCTCGCCAGCTACTTGTGCAAGCGGTGCAACGTGACGCCGCGCGAGGTGAAGCAGCAGCCGCACGAGGTGCTCGCGAGGGCGGACAAGCTGCTGGCGCACACCGTCGCTGGCGAGTGAGCTGACACGGCCGTCTCGTTTCTACCGCGCTAGACGGGCATGTACACGCGGCGCGTTCGGGACTCTGAAGCTTCGGGCTCAGACTCTCTTTTGCCGTGTTTGTTGGTACTACAGTGTCCTTGGCGTTTGAGCGCCGTCATGCGAGCGCAGAGCGGTGCATGTCGTGTAGTTGCGCGCGCATCGCCCCCATCGCGGTTGGTGTGCTCGCACGTTTTGCTCTCTCGCCGCGCGCTCCCTTTTCGTTGTGACTGTGTGACTGCAGACTGGTGTACACCAGTTCTTGTGATATAAAATACAAAAAGAGCAGATAACTAAGACTCTCACTGCCCTACGGCTTTACACAGAAGTACTGCCCCCCGAGAGCGACTCAGCCGCAAGCATCGCCGGGTCGACGTGCAGCGCGACCGCGAGGGCGGACCACGCGCCGTACGCCCGCTCGCTCCCCGCGATGCCGCCGTCGCGCCGCGCCCGCAGCCCGCTCGCCTCCTCCTCTCTCGAGCCGGGGTGGCGCCGGCCGCAGAGCCGCGTCTCGTGCACCCAGAGAAGCGCGCGGCGCGCCTTTGCGTCCGCCGGCCCGATCCCTCGCGACGCCACCAGCTCGGTGCAGAGGACGAGCGCCTCGACGAGCACGTCCCAGTCGCTGTAGTCGCGCGCGCACGCCATCAGCATGGTCGTGATGCTGATGATGTCGGCGGCGAACCCGCGCTCCGCCGAGTGACGCAGCAGCCGAAGCGCGTCGGGCGCCCGCCTCGCCGCGGCGCACGTGTCCAGCAGCGCGTTGAGCTCGACGAGCCGCTGCGCAGCGGCGGCCTCCTCGGCGGGCGCGCCGCCCGCCGCCGCCGCGCGCCCCTTGCGAGGTCGGTCGAGGATGGCGAGAGCGCGCTCGGCGCCCATCCGCTGCGAGCGCGAGGTTGCCGTCAGAAGCGCGCCGATGCAGACGTCGTCCGGCACCATGCCCGAGTCCACCGCCCGCCGCAGCACGCGGACGGCCGTCGCGGCGTGGTAGTCCCAACGGCCGTCGCGGCGCGCGGCGCGCGCGCACGCGACGAGGCAGTCGGTCACTGCGCGCTGCCGCTGGCTCTCGCTCAGCTTGCGCCACAGCTCTGTCGGCCTGCGGACAGACGGAGGACCGTCGCCGGCAGCGAGGCGGGAGGCGGGAGGCGGGAGGCGGGAGGCGGGAGGAGGGAGGCGGGCCTGGTCGAGGGAAGCTCCGCCGCGTCGAGCAGCTCGTGCATCGGCTGGCGAGCGCCGCAGCCGGCGGCCACCCCGAAGGCGTGCGCCTCGAGCGCCGCCGCGGCGCCGTCTGCGTCGGCGGCACGGCTGGCGACGTTGAGGACGGCGCCTGCCGCGGGGCGCGAGATCAGAGAGAGAGAGAGAGAGAGAGAGAGAGAGAGAGAGAGAGAGAGAGAGAGAGAGAGAGAGACGCGTGCTGCGTGGAGTCCCAACGCCGCGCCCTCCCCTCGCCCCCGTCCTCCCCCCTCCGCCTCTCCCCACAGCTCACCCAGGGCGAGTGGGTCGAGGCGCAGCGCGGCGCCGCCTCCTCCGCCCTGCACCGCCTGACAGCGAACGGGAGGGCTGCAGCATGACCGCGAAACACCCCGCAGGGGCGGGCTCGCTGCAGGGGCTGGCGCGCCTCGGCCGCCGCCGCAGCCACAGCGCTCGCCGCGCCCCCCTCGCCCGCCTGCACGCCTCCGAGGCACAGCGCGGTGAGGAGCTTCGCCTGCGTCCTGCGGCAGCCGCGCGACGCTTGGTCCGCCCGCAGCACGCACTCGACGTAGAGCTCCGCCGCCATCCGCGCCGCGCCGAGGCGACCGAGCAGGCGGAGTACGCGGAGCAGCGTGCTCGAGTGCGCCCGCCCGCCCGGCGTGAGCCCGAGCCGCTCCGACGCACGAAAGGCGCGGCACACCACCGCTGCGCCGCCCGGCTCGCACGCGAGAACGAGCTGGCCGAGGCTCTCCTCGGGCAGCGGCGCGCTCTCGCGTGAAGCGCGCGCCGACAACTCCTGCGCGAGCGCGGGCGCGGCCGCAGAGCCACAGGCGGCGAGCAGCTGCGCGGATGGACCGCCGGGCTGGCCGGCCGCCGCGATGGTCATGAGCGCGAGGCCACGCGGCGAGCCGAGCCCGTGTTGGGCGGGCACTCCGAAGGTGGAGTCGTCAGCATCTCCGTCGGCCAGCGGGGTGGGGATGGGCCTAGCTGCCTCGCTGCCCATCGGCCCCAGCAGGGCGCCCGATCCTGCAGCTCGCACGGAGGAGGCGACGCCAAGCGACGAGCGCCACGCCACGAGCCGCCTCGCAGTAGTGACCGCGCGCATGTGTGTAAGAGTGTGCCCTCGGAGGCCTGGCCAACGGGTAGGCCGGCCAATCGCGATGAACGAGCGTAGCTGAGGTTTCAAGCTCTCTCGCCCGACGCCGGCCACGGTTTAAAGAAAAACGCTGGGCGTTGAAGAAAAAGCCGGCCGGTTTCTTTTTCAGTGTATGTAGCTCTTTTTGGCACCTTCAATGTCTGACGAGGAGCAGCTGGCTGGACTGATCGAGCAAATCGAGACGCTGGACCTCGAGCCTGCCGTCCTTGAGCAAGCTGGGCTTCGCCTCTTGAATCTGGCGCGCCAACGCGCGTCGTGTGAGGCGACCGCAGTGCTGTCTGATCCCGACCTCCTCGCGCTCCTGTTCACGCGCATGTCCAACGACGCGATCTCCGCGGCACGCAAAGTGTGCCACAGTTGGCGAGGGATCGCCGATGACGAGATTGCGCGCCTGCGAACGCTGCGACTCCAAGACGCCCTCCGACTTCCCATCGATGGATCAACGGACAAGGCTTATTTAGGCCTCGTTGCCCTCCCTGGCAATGAGCTGTGCATCTCCGACCAGACCGGGAATCGGCTCATTCTCCTGAAGGTGCAGCGGGGCCAGGTGCTTCAGCGCCACATCGGCCGCCGTGGCCTCGGCCCCGGTGAGTTTGAGGGCCCTCGGGCCCTGGCCACCGACGGCGCTGGCGCGGTTTTCGTGGTCGATCATGGAAACGCGCGCGTCCAAAAGATCGCGACGCGAACGGGGCGCCCCCTGCGCTGCACGTCAACGCACGCAATCCATCCGCAGTACACCAACCGAGGGCTGGGCGCCATCGCCTTCCATACGGAGCTGCAGCAGCTCTTTCTCGTCAACTCGTACACGCGCGAGGTGAGTGTGTATGACGCGTCGCTCGGGCTGCAGCGCGTGTTCAGCACGCCCCAGGGCTCCCGGCCGTGGGGAGTCGCCGTCAGTATCGACCGCTTGTACATCGCCGACATGCAGCTGGGCTGTATCTACGCCTTCTCGCTGGGCGGTGAGCTGCTGCAGACGTTTGGAAAGGGCGTTGTGTTCGAGGCGATACACCTTATCGTCATACACGAGAGGCTGGTCACGAACGACATAGATGCGGCCTTCTCCATGGACAACGGTGCGGCATTTGTCGCCTTTTCCCTCGACGGGCGGCTCATGCAGACCATCTCTGAGCATTCGGAAGACGGTGATCAGATAGGCGGCCGGTGGATGCAGGCCGTCGCTAGAAGCCACGACGGCCGCCATCTCATGGGTCTGATGTCCCGGTGGATTGGTGACGACGACGAAAGCGACGAGCGCGACGGGGAGGGACGCATCCTCCGCATTTGGGGACCGCCTGAAGCCATCACGCAGCCTGAGGTCACCGACAGCCTCAAGGTAGAGCCGCTACAGAGCCTGCTTAGCAGTCTCTAAACTATGCAGATGCACTGCAGCCGCTCGTCAGGCTGGTCAGCTCGGCCCGACGGAGTGATCTCGCACACGGCGGACACATCTAAACACATGTGCGATGTGCGGAGGGACAGCATGTGTGTGTGCCGATATATGATATGTGTGTTCACGTGTGCTGCCACACCCCACAGAGTAAATAAATGTGTGTGCATGTGCATATATTAAATAAATAAAACGGGCAAACTCTGAGACGAGATGGGATTTAGGGACATGTGTCCCCGCCCGGTGCATGCATGCACGATGTTTTCTTTAATGTTTGGGCCGGCGCGGGAGTTTTACTGCCGAGTGTTTCTCCCGGCCGGCCGCCTCCCCTGACACGCCCACTGACCGAGCCCATCGAAAAAATTCGGCGCGCCGCACTGCTCTGACCCCTGCTCGCCCCTGCTCGCCCCTGCTCGCCCCTGCTCGCCCCTGCTCGCCCCTGCTCGCCACTGTCGCCTCGGTTGCCGAGGCTGCCGCGCACCCGCACGCCCGCGTCGCTGCGCGACTACGAACTGCACCAGCTGGGCTCGAACCAACGACCAAAACGTCCCCGACCCGAACGCTGCACCAACTAGGCCACGCCGCAGGCTCGATTTGCAATACGCACAAAACTGGCCGCTCATAAACCACTACTCATTTGCCGAGGCCACGCGGCGCCCCTCCACAGCCAGCCTACCCTCCTATTCGCGCCACTCGAAGCCCCGCGGCCGCCTCTCGCCTACCGCGCTGCCCTCGCCTGCCACCGCACCGCCCGCGCTCCAGCCTAACCAGCTCTGCATCTCGCAACACACACTTGACAGGGACAGACCAGGCGCAGGAAAAGGGAGCGGGGCCCGAATCCAAGGGACCACCCCGTCGGGGGGAGGAGCTGTGAACTCAGGTCCAGCAGGAAGGCTGCTGGCTCCTGACTCATCCCCCAAATCCCCCACACCTTGGCGGCCTGAAACCTTACCATTCCGACACCTCACACACACCCCTCCCCTAGGGCTAAGCAGTGCGCGAGCCCACCCTCCGACTTCAGGCGAGACGTTGACCACTCCTTTGGAACAGTTCTGTCAGTGGCTGCACTAGACGCCCACAGAGGCGCGCGGCGCGGGCAGATGACTAGGGGAGAAAAAGCGGAGAACCTAGCTCGCTGGGAGATGTGCGCAAAAAGACGGGAATAGGGGAGAACTGTCAGTGTGAGGGGAGGGCGTACTGTAGGCTGGCGTTTTTGCCTTTGTGCTTTGAAAACTGAACAGCGTTTTTTTAATAGTGTTTGTTTGCAATTGCATTGCTGCGACTTAAATGTACGACGCGCGTAACAAATCGTGACGCAGATAGCGTCAGAACATCCCCAAATTCCGCCATGGCACGACGATACAATTACAAACGAGGCCGGGGCAAGCCAGGGGGGGACCGGCCACATCGCACATGCGGCGATGCACATCACCCCCAAGGCTCACTCGCGCATACGCGCGCAGACGCAAAACGCAAGGGCGAGACGCGACTGGGAGGACCGCCCACCGACCCAGAGACCGTCGCGCGACTGCTACCCGTCCCCGCCCCTCTCGCAATACGGCTGCGCACAAGGCAGCCCGCGGCGCAAAGGAAAGGCCCTCGCGAGCGCGCGGGTGGCGGAAGAGCACGCGGCGGCCACTCTGCCGGCGGCACGGCGGCGGCACTGGGGAGGATCGCGGGTGCAGACGCCCCCCCCCCCTCCCCCCTCCTGCGACGAACACACACACACACAACACACACGCGCGCGCGGCTTGCAGACGGGCCCCCTGCAGCGGCACTGGGAGGGATGCGGCGGCTACGCGTCTGGGCCCTGCAGCAGCGAGATGGCGGCGAAGAGGAGAAAGAGGCCGCCGCCGATGCCGAGCACCATCCGCTCCGAGATCCGCGATGCGAGCATCTTCCCGCCTAAAAGGCGCCGCGACGGCAGGTGACGAGACTGCTCACGCCCTCCGCGGTTGCGCTCCGCCCGTCCCGCGCACCGACGACGGCGAGACCAGTGCAGAGCGAGTGGCCGATGATCGCGCCGAGCGTGACGCCGACCGGCTCCTCGGCGGCGCCCAGCGCGATCGTCGCGATCTGCGACCGGTCCCCCCACTCCGCCAAGAATGTCAACGTGAAGGCCTGCAGCAGCACCGTCCTCGCCGCCGGCTCGGCGTCCGCGCCGCCGCCGCCGCCGCCGCCGCCGCCGCCGCTGCTGCTGCCGCCACCCTCCTCGTCGGCCATCAGCGCGTCCGCCGACTCGACGTCGTCCTTCTTCGCCAGCTCCAGCTCCACCTCCTCAAGCTCGTCCGAGGCGCCCTCGCCCGCGTCCTTCGCCTCGCGCAGCATGCGCACGCCGAAAAAGAGGAAGAGCAGCACGGCGGCATAGTGCGTGTAGGCCTGCGCGCGGCGGCGGGGTGCGGGGCGGGGCGGTGGCGTCCGCGGGGCGGGCGGGCGCGGCGCGAGAGTGCTCTCGCCTTTGGAAGCAGGAGCGGCGCCATGTGGCCGAGCAGCGTGGAGAGCACCGTCATCACGACGAGCGCGCCGACGGCGCCCGTCCAGACCGTGAGCCGCGAGTGACGCATCGCCATAATGGCGGCGATGAAGAAGGTCTTGTCGCCTGGCGCGGTGGCGGCGCGGTCAGCAGCTGTGGCACGCGGGCGCGGGAGGGCCTGCGCGGTGTGGACCGCACCGATCTCGGTGGCAAGGATGACGAAGAAGGACTGGACGAACGCGTGCGTGAAGCCCGGCTGCACCGCGGCGTCGGCGTATGGCGCTTCCATGGTAAACGCTTTTGGCGCCCCCGGCACGAGGACGACGCGCAGATGCGTTGTTTGTTCAGCGCCGGCCTTGTGAGAAGAATTTTACACAAGATGCGAACGCGCACCCCCGGGGCTAGGGCTTTCTTGCCCGCAACCCGATCCCGATCATCCGGCCCGCTGGGTGCGCTTCTGAGCTCCCCGGCCCTGGATGTGAGGCTGATGACTGCACTCCAAGTGCTCCAAGTGCTCCAAGTGCTCCAAGTGCTCCACCGGGGGTCGCACGACGTGAAAAGAACTCGGACGTATCTTAAATGAACTCGGGTACACGCGGCACAAACTAAAAATGTGCTCCAAATGACCCCCTGGCGTGGCTTGCGCGGTTGTCTGCTTGGCGCACGCTCCTAGTCTGTCGGCGCAGAACCGCGCCATTCGCTCGCTCTCACCTGGCAACCCTGTCTGCACGTCTCGCGCGCGCGTGAACAGGGCTCCAGGCCCCAAATGACGTGTGAGTGTTATCGTCTCACCCCGCTGGCTGCGAACGCGAACGCCGTCATCCCAACTGCACCCGTCCGCTCGCCTCACCGAGCGACGCGCGCCGAGCCACTTGTATCAGTACACAGTGCTGAGCTGCCTCGTGCAGGCCTGTGCTGCCGACGCGAGAGGCTGAGAGCTTGCTCCGGCTCGTGACCCTGAAAACCCTGTCGCCTGTGCTCCGTCCGCGTCGCGGCCTCTGAGCTCCGTCGAGTCGCCCGGGCGCGCGCTGGCAGGGGCACCGAACTTACCGGAGGATGTCTCAGAGAGCTATGGTGTATGGAAAAGAAGTGTCCCGGCCTAGTTGAGGGATTCCGCGTGGGAGGTGGGAACGGCACGCCGGTTCGACTCTGAGGAAGACACCGGTATAAACTAAAGAAAGAAAGAAAAAAACGAGCCAAGGGAGGGAATGGGAGGACGGCACGCCGCCACCACACAGGGATTTTAAGGAGAGGAGGCGTCTACAAACACGATTATCTTTTCTTTTTCTCGCGATGTCTGCCCCGCCGCGCCGCCGCTCGCGCCGCCTCGCCACCTCCTCCTCCGCCGCCGCTCCCTCGCCAGGCACGCCGCCGCCCGCCCGCCTCCTCGACCTCCCCACCGAGCTCCTCGAGCGCGTCCTCGCTCGCTGCGACAGCCCCGCCGACATCGCTCGCGTCGCGGCCGTCTCGCTGCTCTTCCACGCCTCGCTCGCGGCGGAGGCCATCCGCTTGTGGGCGCAAGAGCGCGGCTTCGAGCTGCCGGCGCAGCCAGAGGGCGAGGGCTGCGCCGTGCGGTGGCTGTGCTTCGCTGCGTTGCTGTGCGAGTCCAACCCGCCGGCGAGGGCGGCGGCAGGCGGACGGCACAGCCTCTTCATCGACGGCGAGGGGCGGCTCTCGTCGTGCGGCTCGGAGGAGCGACACCCAGCCCTGCTCGGGCACGGCGAGGGCGTGGCGCGGCTCAACACGCCGACCCTCCTCCCCTCCCCGCTGGGAGGTGAGCACGCCGTGAGCGTGTCGGCTGCACTCTCGCACAGCCTCGCCCTCGCCGCCGACGGCTCTGTCTGGAGCTGGGGCCAGGGAGGCTTTGGCCACCTGGGCCACGGCGACGAGCAGAACCAGCTGCTGCCGAAGAAGGTCGAGGCCTTTGCTGGCAGGCGCGTCGTCGCTGTGTCGGCTGAATGCGTCCACAGCCTCGCCCTCACCGCTGATGGCAGCGTCTGGAGCTGGGGCTATGGAGCCCTTGGCCGGTTGGGCCACGGCGAAACGCACCAGCAGGACCAGCTGCTGCCCAAGAAGATGGAGGCCTTTGCTGGCTACCGCGTCGTCGCTGTCTCGGCTGGGTACGACCACAGCCTGGCCATCGCCGCCGACGGCTCCGTCTGGAGCTGGGGATATGGAGGCTTTGGCCAGCTGGGCCACGGCGGCACGCACCAGCAGCTGCTGCCCAAGAAGGTCGAGGCCTTTGCTGGGCGGCACGTCGTCGCTGTGTCGGCTGGGACCGCTCACAGCCTCGCCATCACCGCTGACGGCGCCGTCTGGAGCTGGGGCTCGGGAGGTTTTGGCAAGCTGGGCCACGGCGACACGCACCAGCAGCTGCTGCCGAAGAAGGTCGAGGCCTTTGCTGGCCAGCGCGTCGTCGCTGTCTGGGCTGGATCAATGCATTGCCTCGCCATCACCGCCGACGGCGCCGTCTGGAGCTGGGGCTGGGGAATGTTCGGCATGTTGGGCCACGGCGACACGCGGACCCAGCTGCTGCCCAAGAAGGTGGAGGCCTTGGCTGGCGGGCGCGTCGTTGCTGTGTCGGCTGGAGCCGAGCACAGCATCGCTCTCGCCGCCGACGGCGCCGTCTTTACGTGGGGCAAGGGCGATTGCAGCTGCCTAGGCCACGGAGAGGACATGTCGAACCAGCTGCTGCCCAAGAAGATTTAGTCGTGGGCGCGGGGGCACCGGGGTGTGTTCCCGACCTCGTCTCACCCCGCTGGCTGCGAACGCGAACGCTGTCATCCCAGCTGCACCCGTCCGCTCGCCTCACCGAGCGACGCGCGCCGAGCCACTTGTATCAGTACACAGTGCTGAGCTGCCTCGTGCAGGCCTGTGCTGCCGACGCGAGAGGCCGAGAGCTTGCTCCGGCTCGTGTCCCTGAAAACCCTGTCGCCTGTGCTCCGTCCGCGTCGCGGCCTCTGAGCTCCGTCGAGTCGCCCGGGCGCGCGCTGGCAGGGGCACCCCGAACTTACCGGAGGGTGTTTCACAGAGAGCCATTGAAAAGCAAAAAAGGAAATTAGTACGTGCACCCCACCCTCATGCTCATCCCTCTCAAGCAGGAGGATGTACGAAGAGATTAGGAGCAGCAGGGACCCGAGGGGCCATGTGGAAGACGGCTAGTGCTAGTCCCCCCGCCCGATCGGGAGGACGGACCCCGGCTATTCGCCGACCCTACACGGTACACGCCCCACAAAGAACCCTGCACAAAGATCGCAAGGGCGGGGACCTGTTCCTTTTTACCCATCTCACAGTAGAGGTGTCGTTTTTTTTTTATTTCATCCCTCTCCCGACCACGAGAGGCAGCACCCCGAGGACCGCCTTCAAGCGCGGGCGGCCCGTGACTTTGCTCCATCAAAACGGGACAAGGCAAAAACACAGTTGCACAGATACATGCCGGCGGCGCGACTCCCCCCCGCAGATCGTCCTCAGTGGGGGAGACCGCGACACCGGTGACGGAGCGCAGTTGGGAGTGTCTTCGGCTCACGCCAGGGCGCTCGTTGCTCCTCCGTCTCTTTGTATCTTCCATACTGCATTTATCAGAAGACGTATGGTTCTTGCACTTGTGCAAGATTGGGCGTCTTCTGCCGCAGTCCCTTTGATGGGAGGCCCCAGGGTGGGGGCCACCTCGAACCCCCGGCCAGGGATTCGAGCGGAGGGTGCCCCGGATTCATCTATCCGTTGGGCCCCGGTACATTCATTAGAACTGATCACTTTGCGCAGCAGCCGTCCCTTCGCCGACTGGACGGCAGTGCGCTGCGTTGTCGCTCTGTCGTGCACGCTCTCGTGCCTCGTTGTTGTGACCCACCCTGTCCCACCCGTGTGTGATCAGTGTCTACGGGGCCGACGTTTTTTGATCTCTGGGTCAGTGGGGGGCCGAGCCACCTCGGGGTGGCGGGCGGGCGGGCGTTTTGAAAAACAGAAAACAGAAAACAGAGGGGGGCCAGGGCCCCCACTACGATTAGACACAAGCACCTGGCTCCTGGGACAAAGCGAGCAGCAGCAGCAAGCAGTTCAGCGGAGAAGGGGGGGGGGAGGAGCCGAGGGGGTGACGTCCCGACACGGCAGGTTGGAGCTGACCCAGGGAGAGAGAGAGAACAGCGATGGCAGCCCCCAATGACTGTAGACAGAAATGACGAGCCGACAGCGATGCAGCGGCAGCGAAAGCGGCGAGGAGGGCCCGCTGCAGAGCTCCGCTGGGCGGCAGCAGAGACATCGGCGGACGGGGGAGCACGCGGGACACGTCGGCATAGGAGCCAGGGGTGTGGGCTGGGCCTGCATCATGAATGGGCCTGATAGCGACGGCGGCGACGTAGGCGAGACGGCGGCGAGGGTGGCGACGATGAAGCTGGCTTGACGAAATGGATGACGCCATCGCGCAACAATAGACATCCCCTCGATGTCGTCGTCGTTGCCGGAAGGGGCAGCGCACGCGCCTCTGAAGATCGAGGCGCGTGGCTCAAAGCCGGCGCTGCGCGGGTTCGTGCCCATCCGACTATTGTCTACTTTTCCATTTTTTTGGATCGGCCGTGGTCGTGGGCCGGTCACTCACGACCCGCCGCACGAAGTAGGCGGCGCGCAGCGCCGCTCTCGCAGGCTGTTTTTGTCGGTTCTACATTTTGTTTTTGTTTTCAGTCTAGGGGGCCCGACCCCCTCAGAGGCGGCGGGCGGGCGCCCACTGACCCAGAGATCAAAAACGCTCGGCCCGGAGGGGAGTGTCTTCGGCTCACGCCAGGGCGCTCGTTGCTCCTCCGTCTCTTTGTATCTTCCATACTGCATTTATCAGAAGACAGAGAGAGATTTCTTCGAATTCAGAGAGTATCTCGCGAATACTTGCTAGCGCGCGCGATAAGGTTTTTGCTCGCCTTCCCTGGGACCCCGTGTTGCGTGACTGTCTCTGTGCGATTTCGGGCCCGGGGTCGTGCGTTTATGTGAAAGAAAGAGGGTGTGAATGTGAATGAACGTTGAGGCGAGAAGTCGACGCGGCGCCATATGCTGGGGCTGCGGGTATCGCGACGACGCGGCGAGCGGCAAAGACTTTCAGCAGTGTCCGCTCTGCATCGAACTGCAGCTGGAGCGCAGCCCGCACCTGCTCGACGGCTGAGCATGCTGCTTCCCAGCCGGCACTCGCAGCTTGCGAGAAGGTGCTCCTGGGCATGGCGGAATTGGCGCAGGACACGCTTCCCGAGAATCAGCACGTCGGCGATCTGCTGCGTGGGCAGGCGCTGCTTCAGCAGCAGGACTATCGCGGAGCTGCGAAAGCATGTCGCAAGAGTCTCCGACGGCGAGGGCGCAGAGCATGACCGAGCGCAGCGCTCCCCTGTGGAGCCAGGCGGCCGCGCGCCTGTGGGTGCGGTGGAGCGACAAGGGAGGGCGCGCCGAGGAGGCGCTGCCCACGCCCGAGTGGATGAAATCACCGGCCGAGCGGCTACGAGTCGCCGAGCAGGCAGTGGAGCAATGGCCGGACCTCACTCACGCCTGGCAGATGCTGAGCCATGAGCTCCTTTCCGCGGAGCACCAAGACGTCAAGCGCTCGCTTGCATGCCTCAAGCGAGCGGCGGCAGTGACGGGCAGCGCACACGCGCGCCAGCTGCTCGAGGAGCGGCATGCATGTTTGGAGGCGAAGGCCTCTGCAGCATGGCGAGCGGCGAGCGGAGACGACGACGTGCGCGAGTGCCTGCGGCGTATGGAGAGCGTCGGCTTCGAGGGCCGTGAGTGGTGCGCGCATGGCGCTCACCGTCCACGATGCCTACTACCCGCCGAAGAATGCGAGCTGTCGGAAGCCGCGGTGGATGGACGATCTGGACGCGCGTCGTCAGGTCGCGCTAAAGGTGGTCCGGCACTACCCCGAGTCGCCGCGCGCCTGGTGGATGCTTGGTGTCGCCATGCTGAAGGCACGCGACGAGGCGAAGCGAGTTGCTTGCTGCTTCGAGCGCGCCGCGCAGCACTCGCTGAACGACGCCAACTCGCCTCCGAATCCCGGGCTGGCAGCCGTCGCCAGGGGAGGGGCCTGTTGCGGAGTGGGAGACGGAGTGGCTCGCCTCAGGATTCTTTTCCAGCGAAGGTGAGTGCGAGCTCCCCGAGACGCTCGAATCTGTCCGAGGGGTGGCGGCAAACGGCTGCGCGGTGAGCACAGTCGCACTCCTCTGTGTAGCGCCTCAGGGTGAAGGGGGGGCATGCCGGGTCAAGCTGAGACTAATGGTCGAGGCACCAGGGGTCGTTCTTCGCCCACAGCAGCAACTGGCAGAGCAGGCGCAACGACGCCCGCCCGACTGGGTGGCATACACAGACGGGTCGGAAGACCTAGGGAAAGCAGGGTGGGCCTATACAGTACTCATCGGGGGCGACGCAATCGGCGATAGGGGCGCGTCGTTGGCGAGCGAGGGCTACGGGCCAGTTGTCACTTCGGCGGCGCACCCAGCCTACCTCGGCGCGCGCAGGCATACCAACAACACGGCGGAACTAACCGCCCTAGCCGAGCTCCTCCGGGCTCTCCTGTCCTCGTCACCGCAACGAGCGGGCTCACGCGGAGTAGTGCGGACCGACAGCGAGTACGCGGCGGCGTGCATGATGGGGAGGGTGACCCCCAAAACGAACAGACAGCTAGCGGAGCGCCTTCGTTCCCTCTGGCGACGCCTTCGCGCCAAACACACCGTGACGTGGAGGCATGTGGCGGGTCACAGCGGCAACAAATGGAACGACTACGTCGACGAGCTAGCTGCTCGCGGCAGGCAAGGTGACAGAGGCTCAAACGCTGCCGAGTGGGCGGACAACACCATCCCGACGGACACTCCCGACGAGGGGAGCGACACGGAAGGACCCGCCCCCGCCCCTCGGGGCGGGGGCCCCCGCCCCCCCGGGGGGCCCTTTGGGGCCCCTCCAGGGGGCGACCCCTCCGGGGAGGCCGGCCATCCCCGTGCCGGTTCTCCCCAACCAACCCCGCCGGCAGCGCGAGCTGCCGGCCACATTGAGCGGTTCGTCCGCGTCGCGCACTCGTCCCAACCGGGGGCCGCAGACTCGTTCTGCGCGCCAACGGCTGGTGACGCTGTGTTGCCCTTGAGCTAGTCCTTCCCCGGTCGCCTAGCCTCTGCGCTGTCTGGCGGACGCCTGTATGCCATGCACGCGGACCACGCTTGCGTGGATACGTGGCTGGCAGGCTGACCCGTGTGCGGGGTAACCCGCGCACGGGGAAGCTTCACGGGTTCGAGCCGTCAAACATTGAGCAGCGGAGGTGTGCCGAGGGGGACCGGGAGGCGGTAAGCCGTCGTCGCCCGGCGCTGCATGCAGCACCGTGGCGATGGCGCTAAGAGGTTCCTCTTTTCCGCGCCCCCCCCGCAAGGCGCGCGATACACGTCGGTGTATCGGCAGCTCGCCGCTGCGCTCAAGGAGGGTGGCCATGTGCCTGGCGAGCAATACCCATAAGTCAGTCAACGTTGCCTCGCGAATCACGATTGAAATTCGTCTTATCCTTTCGCTCCCCCTGCGCCAACGTGATTTCTTGGAGCACTTGGACTGCGGTATAACCTCTTGCTGCCCAGGTTCCGACCCTCTGCGTGGCCGACTCACACAGCGAGCCTTCCTGTCTCCCTGCTGCTGATACATCGGTCGTGCTCAGTCAAGATATTGTAGAGACCGACCATATGCACAATATCTTGACTGAGAGCTAAGCCCAGTTCGACGATCGGCAGCCTCACCGCGGGTCGCGCCGCTGTGCAGCGAGAGCCAGGCTCGCCCGGCGAAGGTGACCAGAGAGTGCTCAACAAATACCAGAAAAAATCAGGGAGCCTCAGAGAGTGCCACTGCCATCACCCAGGCCGCGGGAGCCGATCGGCTGCGCCGAGGACAGCTCCCTCAGTGTGCTCCGCGGCTCACCAGTGTGCGCCGCGGCGCCGTCCAGCCACTTTGGCGGCCAGCCACCGGTCGAGTTCTTCGACTCTGGAGGACAGAAAGGTACCGTCTGAAAGGTATTTTCATGCTCTATTGACTGGCGAAAAAATCCCCCGCCAACTGTTTTCACAGCGGGCGTCATTCACACCGAAGCATGAGCAAAGCATCGGGCAGCAAGAGGATAAGACCCGCTTTCTCTCTTGTGTTCCGGGTCGCGCTAGGAGGGGCTCCAGCGTCGGCCTCCAGTATGGCGGAGCTCGCGCCCCGCTCCAAGCGTGCGCGCAAGGCCTCCTCGCGCGTCCGCGTCTTCGACGAGGAGACGCGCAGGCAGATTGTGCAGAAGCGGCTCGACGCGCTCGAGGCCGACAACTGGCACGTCCCGCGCGGCGCGGAAGCGGACGACGACGAGTACGACCCGTGGGCGGATGCGTCCTCCGGCGACGAGATGGCGGTGCGCGCGCGCCGTGTCTTGCGCCCGAGCCGCCGGTCGCCGACCCCGTCACCACTACTGCCGGCCGGCAGGTGGATGGCGCCTCCAAGCGGGCCTCCAAGAAGAAGAAGGGGAAGAGGAAGCGGGACGCGTGGTGCGCGCGACGCGCGCGCGGGCGGCCGCACGCGCCGCCCTCCGCATCCCGACCCGCCGCGCCGCGCCGCAGGTCGGCGCCGCAGAGCCAGATCAAGTCGCTGCAGGAAGTCATCGACGAGGTGTGCTGCCACCCGCCGCCGCCGGCCGCCGAGTGGCCACCGCCGCCCGCCAGCCGGCCCGTCCGTCGCCCGCCCCGCCCGCCCCGCCGCCCGTCGGCCCGAGGCCCACCCCCGCCTCGCTCGCAGGCGCAATACCACAAGTACCCCTCCTGGGCCCCCACCTACCTCTCGGTCGCAGCCGCGCCGAGCCGCTACCCGCCGCGCCGCTTCTGCTCGGTGCGCACGCCACGCGCGCCGCCGCCGCCACCGCCGCCGCCGCCGCTCGCCGCTCGCCGCCGCTCGCCCTGCCCGCGGCTTGCCACCAGCGCTTTGCCGGTTTGCCACCAGCGGCTTGCGGCCCGCGATGACCGGGCGAGGGGAGGTGTGACGCTCGCTTCCACTCGCTCACTCCGCAGGTGTCGGGCGTCGCCGCAAAGTACAAGTGCGCCGTCACGGGCGACTACTTGGGCTCGCTCGACGCCTTCACCACACACCGCGAGACGCGGCTCAAGGGGCTGGTATGAGAGTGATGAGTGTGAGAAGCTGTAACATGTGGAGAGGGGGGAGAGGCCAGAGTGCTAAACTTTGGGCGGGTTTTTAGAGTACACGCAAATCGTTTTCTTCTCGCCTCGGCCCTTTGCGCGATTGTTCTCGCTTGCTCACGGGAGAGGTGTCGAGCCTGCGACAAGCCGCGCCCACACCCGCACCAGCCATTGATCCGCCACGTCACCCACCCACCCTCCCACCCAAACCCAGACTCCTCGCTGCCGTCGCTGTTCGTGATGCTTGCACTCCTCGCCGCGACTCCGGCGCTGCAGCTCAACGGGAGGGCCGCGCCCGCCGTGGCTCCGGCCGCTGCGCCGCAGACCCGCCGCCAGCTGATTCAGACGGCCGCCGCCGCTGCCGCCGCCGCCGCCGCGGGCGGCGTCGCGCCTGCGCTCGCCGGCGGCGACACCTTCAACCGGATGAGCGGTGTGCTCGAGCCGTTCACAGACGTGCAGAAGGGGTTCAAGCTGTACAAGCCGGTGGCGTGGAACCAGTTCGAGGCCGACCCGGGCGTGTACGACATGAAGTGGGTCGACCTGATCGAGCCCTTCGAGACGGTCCAGGTCTCGACCTCCCCCGTCTCGACCGCCACCTCCATCTCTGCGCTTGGAGAGCTCGACGAGGCGCGGCGGAGGCGGGGAGGGAGGGAGGCGAGTCGGCGGCCCTCGTCTCGACACGCGCCGCGCCTCTCCCCGGGTAGGTTGGCGCAAAGTTTGCGAAGAGCCGCGACGCGCAGCTCGTCTCCTCCAAGAGCCGCGACGCTGACGGCGCGGCGGCATGCGTGCAGCCGCGGGTGTGTCGAGGGGGCGACTGGTGTGACCGGCACGGCTGGGAGTAGGCTCGCTTGCCTACACCTTTGAGCTCAAGGGCGACGCCTACCACGAGTGCTTGCTCCGCCCCTCCCCCAGCCAGCGAGCCGTGGCGCCTCCTCCCGCCCACGCCCCGCCCCGCCCGCACGCGCAGGTACCTGCTGCTGACCATCAACCGCGGCAAGCTCTACCGCCTCTCCACGGTGGCCTCGAACAAGCGCTGGTCCAAGCGGGAAGAAATGTACAAAAACGTCGTCCTCTCATTCGTGCCCAAGGGCTTCTGAGCGGGGCTTCTGAGCCGGGTCTGAGCAGAGACGGCTTCCGAGCCGCCAGGTCTGCCGCTCACAGCGTCACAGGAGAGGGCGAGGGGCGGGCCGCGTTTTGGTTTGCCTCTGGCCGCTTTCCGCGAGAGAGGAAGCCAGTGGTAGTCGTATTCGTCTCTTGCCCCAGCAGGCTGCGATGAGGGTGGACTTTAGGTGCTAGCAGCGCGCTCCCCCATGTCCTCGTTCTCCTATGAAAAAAAGGTGGGCGTGACTCGCTCGGTCCTTGGCCTTCCTCGCACTTGGGCAGCGCGCTAGGCCCCTCGGTCGTCTTGGGCAGCGCGTCATTTCTTTCATGTCTAAGGAAGAGCGCGAGTGGGGCGCCGACTGTGGCGTCGGCGCGACGGCGCTCTGGATAGCCTACATACGCGACCGCGAGAAGAGCCGCGAGAAGCCAGCGTTCGACGACGACTATGCCACGCGCTTCCTCCGCGACGGCAAAGGCAAAGAGGTCGCCGAGGCGATGGCGCGGGCTCTCTTTCATTCCATGTTCATGAACGCATCGGGCGATGACATGCACGCGTCGCTTACGCTCAAGTACGCCTTGCCGATGTTCGGCCGCTGGCACATGCAGCGCATGCGCGGCGAGCCTGTGCCGCAGGAGCTGGTCGAGCAGGCGGCACTTGAGAACCCTCTCGCCAAGGGTGTTCGCATTCGCACAGCGTACTTTGACGAGCGGATCCGCAAAGCGTTTGCCTCTGGATCGACGGCTCGGCAGTTTGTGACCCTGGCGTGTGGCGTGGACTGCCGCTGCTTACGCCTCGAGTGCTTGCAGCGCGGCGTCGCGACCTGGCTCGTTGATCAGCCGGCCGTGATCTCGTCGTTCCGGAAGTGCCTGCCGGAGCTTGACGAGCGGCCCGACATCAGCACTGTGGCAGTCAAGTTTGGCGAGGAGCTGTGGTGGGAGAAGCTCCTCGCTCACGGCTTCGACCCGAGCCTACCGAGCGTCTTTTTGATCGAGGGGCTTGTGATGTACCTGAGCAAGGCCGAGAACGAGGAGATCTTCCGACGTGTGCACTCCCTGATGGCTCCCGGCTCGATTCTGCTGGGCGACTATGTGAACCGCGGCTTCCTCGATCACCCGATGGTGGAGCCCTTTGTCGACGAGCTGCGCAAGTACAACGCGCCGTGGACGTACGGGGCGCGAAGCAGTGCGACCTGGGGCAGGACGCTGTCGCGGTGCGGCTTTGAGGTGCGCGAGGACAGGCCCTCGGTGGAGCTGAAGACCTGCGCCATGCGCATCAAGTTCCTCCTGATTGACTACATCGGGACTTGGGTGCCCTCCTACCGAGTCTACTCCGCGGTCAAGAAGCGGTCTTCAACGGAGCAGGAGCGGCCGAAGGGGGAGGGGTCGCCGGCGGCGTCGGCGTAGCTGCTGCACTGCGATGCGGCGGCGCTTCGTGTCATGGCCACGTGAGCAGAGCCACGCAACTCGCAGGGGAGAGCGCTCTTCCCACTTTGCCTCGAGCACTTTGCTGCACTGCGATTGCTCGGAAGGTGTGTTTTTGTCGCATTGTCGACACATGTATTCAATAAATCATTTTAACTGTAAAGGAAATGGCGCTTAGCTCCGTGCGCTCGACACCCCTCGCGCCGCGGCATAAAAACGAAGGGAAGAATTAGGTTGGTGCGGCGTCATTCACCAGCAGCAGCACTCGCACTTTCGTAGCCCGGTCGAACACACTGCGTGCCCAGGCTGACTTTGCCTCAGGCTGACGCTCAGGCCACTGCGGCCTCATATTTTGGCGCGCGCCGCGCGAGTGTCCAGTGTGGCCTCTCCCGCGCCTCACGACATTTGGTCTACTTGAGGAGCTGTTGTGGTTGGGGACCGGCGTCCCGTGGCGTTCCTGTGAGCGCTCTCCGCCGGCCACAGCTCGAGCTCGCGGTGTCTCGCGCTCTTTTTGAAAACCCCGTTTCTTCTGACAGGTCAAGTTAATCATCAATAAATACCTATGGACAGTGTAGATTCCCTTGACCCGGTGTGCGGATTCGCCCTCTCGCTCAATCTGGACATGGAGAGAGAGCAGCAGCAAATGCACAGGCCACAGCACAGAGTCATCGACAGTTTTGTGCTCTCGGCTGCAGCAGCCAGGCCAGCTACGGCGGGCCGCCGGCTCACTAATGAACGCATGGGACAGGTCGGCAAGTATGGGTTAGTTGGGGGGAGTGCGAGCGACGGCTGAAAGGCCGCGACGCCCACAGAGCCCGGCGCCACCAGTGGCGCCCGGCGAACGGCGTCGAGCGGGCGACTGGCTGAGACCCTCACGCGGAGGCGGAGGAGGAGCGGCGGCCCCACGGCCAGCGCGCGGACCCCGGCGCGGGCTTGATCTTCTTGGCGCCGCCGAGGCTGACGTGCGAGGAGCCGCGCGCCGCCTCGGCCACCGGCTCGGCGCCGAACGTGCTGGCGGCGGCGCTGGCGGCGGCGAGGGAGACGCTGCGCAGCAGCGAGGAGAGGTTGCGGGATCTCCTCTCGTGGCCACGCTCCGCCGCGCAGGCTGCGCCATCGGCCCCTCCGTTCGCGCCCTTGCTGGGCTCGACGGCGGCGGGGCTGGCACTCAGGTTGTCGTATGAGGAGGGGGCGGAGGGAGGGGCCGAGGGCGGCCCGCCGCACGGCACCGCCTCGAGGGAGATGAGGCCGTTGCACTCATCGCCCGGCGCGTCGCCGAACGCAGCCTTGCGGTACACGGGGCGGCCGGCGGGCGACGCCGGCGAGGCGAGCAGCCGCTCGAGGTCGCCGGTGTCCATCAGCGAGTGGTCCGACATGACCCACGGCTCCCAAGAGAGGCCGGCGCGGACGCCGCCGGGCGGCGACGCGATGGCGGTCGGCGGCGAGCGCATGGGCGACGACATCTCCGACTGCGACGCCAGCACCGATCGCGGAGGCGGCTGCAGCGGCGCCGGCCGAGGCCGCGGCGCAGCGGCGCCAAAGGCGGCGGCAGGCGCAGCGGTGGGGACGGCGGCGGCGGCGACAGGCGCGGCGGCGGGCGACGGCACGAGCGTGGACGCGGCCGGCGCGGGCGGCGTGTGCTCGAGAGTCGAGTGCGCGATGGGCACCCCCGGCGCGTCTGCCTCGTTGGCACCGCACTGGGAGATGTCTGCGAGCGAGAAGCCGAGCTCCGACTCGAAGGCGGAGAGCTTGAAGCCGGGCGAGGGGGGGACGCCGGCGACGGCGGCCGCGTGCACTGGCGACCCGACCGGGAAGGTGCCAGCGACAAACTGCCGCACGGCGTCGCCGCTCAGGGGCTTTGCGGGCGAGATTGGAAGGCCGGCGATGTAGGTGCCGGAAGGGGCGTCGACCGGCGCCGCAACGGCGAACGCCTCCGGCAGCGGCGGCGGGCGGGACCAGAAGCCGCCGCCGCGCCGCTCGCGCTTGCGCTTGGAGGAGGACAGCTGCGGCTGCGCGGCGGGGGCCGCCGCCGCCGCCGCCGGGGGCGAGGGCTGGGCGAACGCGTTCAGGTTGCCGCCGCCGAGCGAGCCGGCGGGCGAGGCGAGCGGCGAGCCGAGCGCGTCGCCGAAGTCCATCTTGAGCTCGCCGAGCCGCTGGCGGACGGGGGGCGAGACGACGCTGGTGGTCGCCTCGGTGCCGCCCGACTCGTACCCGCCGTCGCGGGTCTCGTCCACGGGCGACGCCGAGCCGGCCGAGTTGAGGTCGCGCGTGTGCGCTCCGGCGGCGAGGAAGACGGTGCCGTCGCCCGCCTTGCCCGCCGGCTGGGTTGGGTCCGACTCGGGGCCGGTGCCGGCCAGGTTGACGCCGGCGACGCGGAAGGAGTAGCCCATGCCGTCGCGCAGGAGCGACGCCCCGATCGACGCGTTCGGCACCGCCGACTCCTGCGGGGCAGGGGGGGAGGGAGCGGTGTCAAGGGGAGAGCGGTGTCAAGTGGCGCAGGCGGGTCTCCTCAAGGAGGTGGCGGCGAGGCGAGGAGAGCTCGCGCGACGTGACTGGAGCGGAGTGGGGGCCGAGGGCGGGCGAAGGGGAGGCTCGCACCATGCACTCGTGCCACGACGCGCCGCCGTCCGCCGAGCACGTGAGCGTGTAGTGCGTGACGCGGAGCCCGTTGTCGGGCGGCACCGCCCACGCGAGGCGGATGGTGCCGTCGGCGTCTTGCTGCAGCCGCAGGCCGTCGATCTTGCCCGGGCGGTGCAGGTTGGCGAGGTGCTGGTGCGAAAAGTTGTTTGCCGAGAAGCACTTGTTGCAGAGGTGGCAGTACCGCTTCCCCGGCTTGGCGCGGCCGCCGGAGCCGCCCGGCTTGGCGGCCGAGTGGTAGGTCTCGCCCGTCGCGGGGCACTTGAACCAGACGACGTGCCGCGCGCCGAGCCGCTTGGTCCCGCGGAGGAAAAAGTCACGCCCGAGCTCCTGCAGGGAAGGGGGTGAAGGGTAATCGCCCGACGCTCGCGCGGGGGGGAGGGGGGAAGGGGGGGGGGGGCGAGGCGCGGCAACAAGGAGGCGGGACGGGTAAGTCGTTTTTGGTTTGGGTGCAGGGCGGTGGCGCGCCTCCATGAGGAAGGGCTCCTCCTCGGTGTTGGGCCCGTCGCACGTGAACTCGAACTCGGGCATCGGCGCTGCTCCGCCCGCCGCCGTCGGCTGGTGCCACTGCTTGGCGTCCACCGTCGTCGGCGAGAGCGAGTCGGAGCGGGCGCCGCACAGCACGACGCCGCCGTGGGTGGCCGAGGGCGTCACGTACCAGTGGCCGTGGCTGTAAAACAGGTGCATTTCGAAGGCGGCGCCCTTTGCGTTGGCGCCCCGCTTGACGTAGTGCGGGCGCTCCTCCACGTAGGGTGAGCGCGGGCAACGCTCCCAGTCGCCGTTGAGGGTGTCGAGGCTCGCGGGCGCGCCGCGCGCGGTGAGGCGGCCGTGCCGGACGAGCCCGAGTGCGTGCGCCGTCGCGGCGCTGTTCAGCGCCGTCTCCATCGTATTAGGGAGGAAAGGTCCGAGAGCAAGCAAGGAGCTATTGGCGGATCTTGCCGTCTCAGGAGGCCAGTTTATCAGCTGGTGCGCTTTTTTTTGTGCTGTCCACGAGCCCTTTTCGCTGTTTGTGTCTGTGTGTCGCTCATGCGTGTCGTCATCATCTGTCTAGCGTCCACCCATACCGCGTGACGGTAAAAAGCGGGGCGAGCGAGTCTCGTCGGACTAGATACCCCCGCACACACGGAAAAGAGATAAAGGGATGCCGCAGGTCGCACCTCGTATTCACTGTTTTCAACCTCCCCGCCGTGTGTTACGACAGGGGCTGGGACCCACGCACAGCCCACCATATGAGGAGCGCCGGCCGTTGAGCGTTGTGCTTGTTCATCATTCTCACACACCCGCCCATTTTTTGCCTCACGGAGCCACAGTGCTCAGTGGAACCCCGGTCCCAACGAGATTCGAACTGGCAGCCACTCGACGACTCGACGGGCCGCAGTCGCGAACTGCATGCGAGCGCTTTCCCTGTCTAGGGGGGTCGGCGACGAGGCCTCCGATCGCTTAGCAAACACCGCGCACTCGGGCACTCTCCCGGGGCGGTCCCGCGCGCGGTCTCGTTCGGTTTCGTGCGCCGACATGTCCGCAATTCCACCATCATGTCCGCCATCTTCCGCCGGGCACCCCCTCCCCTTCGGTCCTCATCTCCTTCCGCATCATGATCATCCAGGGCGGTCTCCTTAGCTCTCTGTCTCTCACGTCACGCCACCGGGCCCCGGCGCACAAGGCCACGAGCTAAGCTCTCCACGCCACCACACACGCTCTTGTCCCACTCCGAACGAGTGTCAAAAGTAGCAGCAGAGCTGCCATACACCAGGTGCCACCCTCTGGCTGCCGGAGCAGTTGTATGTGGAGTCGAGCGGCCACGGGAGCGGAGCCGCTGCCGGCACGCCCACAATCTCGCGACTGCGCGCGCCAGAGGCCAGCGCTGCGAGGGCGGCGACGAGCACGGCGACGGCAGCCGCGCCAGAAAAGCCGAGGGCTGGGAGTGCAGAGCGGAGCGCCACCGCCAACGCAACAACGACCGCCTGCAGCGCGACTGGGCCGACCCACGGTGGGAGCGGCGCCATCGAGCCTCCAGCGAGGCTGCCGGAGAAGTTGCCCGCAAAGAGCGCTCCAGCCAGCAGAACCGCCGCAGCTGAGCCACCCAGCGAAGGTGCCGCCGGGACGGCCCCGCCAGAGGACGCGTCAGGCAGCGTGGTGAGCCCTCTCACCCTCCGTGGCGGCCGACCACTCGGAGGCGGCTTCCGGGGGATTGGTCGCCGCAGCTCCCCGAGCAGGTAGGCAAAGGTCGGCTCATTGGCCACCGCGACCCGGACACGATCCTTGGGCTCGGTCCAGTTGAGCACCCAGTCGCCGGCCGGCATGCGGAGCGTTCGCGTCGGCCCTCAGTCCCGGGGCGCGAACAGCGGGCGGTTGTTTTCGTTACAAGTAGATTTGCAAAAAGAAAGAGGAAGTTTCCGGCTTACATTACCCCTGCGTTCTCGCACATGGAGTGCGAGATACTCGGCTTTCAATCCCAAACTGTCACTCCCCTTTCTCCCGGCCGGGGTGGGGCGCGCGCGGGGGCGGCGGGTGTGCGGGATGTCTGTGGGCCCGAGAGCGATATATTCGGTTTTAATTTGGCCATCATCACGACTGACACTGACGAGCTCATACTGAGTGTCAGGGGACCCCCAGATCGAGATTTCGTAATCTCCCGGGGAGATTTCGACAAAACCACACCCGATATGTGCATGTGCCATGCATGTCCGCCTTGCGTTTGTTTCATAACATCGAAGGCTAGCTCAAAAAAAGAGGAGGGAAAGAAAGAAAACATACAACCCAAACGAGGGGTAGGGGAGGAGGACAGGGTCCACACCTGCACGAGCAGGATTTTGGAAGGACGATCCAGGGGGACAGGTTGGGCTCTCCTGCTCCTGACAAGGGACACGACAGGCTCGCAGCGCGGTGCACGGTGGAATCCCAACTCCACTGGCGGTCTCATCTCAGTCTAGCGACCTTCCTCCGGCTTCTCACCGGCAGTCTCTCACTACCACGAGCACACTGACACAGGGGTGGCAGGGGCGGGCGGTGGCATGAGTCTCCCACATACTATGCAGGCCTCACTAGAGGTGCGGCCTGCGCGTGTCCTCGCCCTTGGGAAGGTCTTGAGGGGGAGGGGAAGGGGCTGTTTGTCTGTGCATGCATGTGTGGGGGTGGGGGGGGGGGGGGGGCCCCCGCAAACCATCCCAGGGGGGGCGACCCCCCCCCCAAAAGCCGAAGACAAAACAGGCGCGATGGGTACAAAGCAGCTGGGTACAAAGGCTGCTGCCCCGCTCGCCAGACCGTTGCTGCTGCTGCTGCTGCTCTCTCCTCTCACTCACGCTACCACAGCCACCGACGTGGCTGAGTCAGCGCTCGCCAGCGGACTGGCTGCGTTGCGAGAAGGCCGAGCCGCTCGCGCGGTGGCCGAGTACCGCCAGGCGCTCGCCAGCGGCCCTGCCGGAGCGCTCTCGCACGAGAACCGATCCGCGCTCTTCGACGCGCTCGCGGAGGCGTACGCGGCGCAAGGCAAGGAGGCCGAGGCCGTGGGCGCGATGGAGGAGGCGCACGAGGCGCTGACCGCAGCCCTCGGCGCCTCGGACCCTCGGGTGGGCGGCGCCCTGTCGCGTCTGGCCGACGCGCACGCGGCCGCCGGGAACCACGCGGCGGCCGCGGAGGCGCTCGGGCGACTCGTGCAGGGCATGCGCGCGCAGGGCCTCGGCGTGATGCACCCAGGGCTGCGCGGTGCCGCAGGGAAGCACGCCGCCGCCCTCGCCGCGGCCGGCCGCAGCAAGGAGGCTGTCCGCGCGTACCGGACGCTGCTCGAGCTGGTGGCTCCGCTTCCGACGGAGCACGCGGGCGGCGAGGTCGCCGCCGCCCGCGTCGGCCTAGCCACCGCTCTCGCCCGCAGCGCGGCCGGGGGAAGGCGCGGCGGCGCCGGCGGGGCGAAGATCGGCGCGGCAGCGGAGAAGAAGCTGGTCGAGGCGCCTCTGCGCTGCGGCCTAGGCCGCCTCTCCTCTTAGAGGAGGCCTGAGGGTGCCCCTCCTGTTGCACTGCAGGCGCTGGAGCACGCCGAGGCGGCGGTGCGCATGCACGAGGAGGCGGCCGGCTCGGGCGGCCGCCTCGCCGCCGCCCAGCCTCTCGACGCCTCCCTCGCGGCGAATGCGGTCGCCGGGCTCCTCGAGAAGCTCGGGCGAGACGAGGAGGCGGTGGCGGCGATGGGGCGCGCCGCGGAGCTCGCCGTGGAGGCCGCTGACGGCGACGCGGACGAGCCGATCGCGCGCAGCGCCGCGCGCAACCTGGCCGCCCTGCAGGCGCACGTGAGGCGAAAACAGGAGCGAAAATCGAAGTCAGAGCTGAGGTGAGGCGCGGGTTGTTCAGAATCCGACATCAAGTAAAAAGCCCAGCCCCTGCGAGACGTCCCGACACGCGGCACCACCTGAGACCCCTGAGCCGGTGTTTGGCTGCGGCGACCGGCGTCGCTCCCGACCGCTCGACTCTCGCGCGCTCCAAACCCTCTCGCCTCTCCAGAATGCCCCTCTCCACCATCGACATGGGCAGAACCGCGCGCACGGCACGCACGGTGCGCCGAGACCCTACCCTCACCCCTCCCGCACTGTAGACAGAGGACCCCCTCGCGACGCGGGCGGGCACGTAAATGCCACCCCACGGCAAGGTCGGGTGGGCGCTAGACACGGAGCGAGGGAAGCAGTGGAGCGGGAGGCAGCAGAGGAATCAGGGGCGGCACCCCTCTGCGCTGTCGGCACCGGCGGCGCCGGTCGTACGAGGTGCAAGAGCGTCGCACGCTCTGGCGAGCATAGGCAGGATAGGGCTGTGAGGCTAGCTGATCGTGCACTGAATCCCGAGGCATCGCGTCGAGTTTTTGTCGTCGCACGGCGATTTGGGGTCTGGAGGCGCGGAGGGGCGGGAGGGCGGTGAGAGGCGGGCCGGGGGTGGGGGGGGGAGGGGTTGAGCGCGCCCGGCTTCTTGGACTCGAGACTCCGCACGACTATGTGCACACAGGTCGTCCCTCCCTCCTCCACCTTGAGCTCTGCGCGGAGAAAGCGGCGGGTCTCGGCAGAGCGCGCGCGCACGGGGGGGGGGGGGGGGGGCGTGCCTTTCCCAACTTTGGAACCTCCTCGCCTCGCCCTTTTCCACCGCCGGGGAAACCCAAGGGAAAGGGGCGCGCCCCTTTGATGGGCTTGTCGTCCGAGACGAAGCGGCCCTGATAGATCACGCGGAGCTGCTCGAGCTTCGGGGGCTGCTGCTGCGGCGCGGTGGCTGCCCCGGCGGGGGCGGGGCTTGCCCCCCCACTCTCGTTTGCTGGGGCGGAGGCCGCCGCCAGACGGTCATACACGGCCTTTCTCAAGTCACAAATGGTGTCCTGCAGCGCCATCGTCAGCTCCATGCCGGCCGTCATATCAGGCCCCACCAGTTTCACGGTGCAGCCCATGCTTTCGCCGCGATAGAAGAGCTCCTGCCGGGAGACAGGCGGGATTTTCGGCGGCGGGTCACAGATGGGCGCCGGTTTTCGCACGGGGGGAGGGAGAGGGGGAAGAGTGGAACGGCGACATTAGGGCCGGGCGAGGAGGTCGGCGTGCCAAGAGAAGGAGACTGCCAGCGGCTGTGTGGCGCACGCCTCCGGTCACAAGGAGGCTTCCGAGGCTTCCGTTCGGCTGACAGGCCAATTGCTGTTTTTTTTTCCTCAGCGGACAAGGCACACAGACATCCCGCACACCCGCCGCCCGTGTGGCCCTACCCCGGCCGGGAGAAAGGGGAGTGACAGTATGGGACGGCGACAGACGAGATACCTCTCACTCCATGTGCGAGAACGCAGAGAAAGGACTGGGGGTGGTCCGGCCCACAAGGCACAAGTCCGGCTCATGCGCCCCGAGCTGACCATCTACCGCACTGCGGCACGGCGCGTCTGTGCTCAGTCTGTGGTCTACTCGGCGCGCCACCCGCGAGGTTCGGTAGCCGTTCGGATACGCAGGCCTGCACTCCTCTTCCAACATGATTCCTTATTGGTTCTTAAAACGATCTCCCCCTTGCTTGCGGCGGCGGCAACCCCGCGATGAACAACTCTCGCCGGGGAAATCAGAGTGGATCGAACGTCCCAGAGCAGGCCTTTCTTACTCTACGGATGGGGGGTTAACGTGTCTCGTCCGCTCTCGTCTCACTCTGATGACAACTCTCTCTCTCTCTCTCTCTGCGGGTTCTCGTTCTTTTGTGGTTTGCCTGTGTGAGTGCCAGCGCACGCGCCTCCCGCTGGAATTCTTTCCCAACACCGACTTGCGCGCGTCCCTTCGCAATCGTTTCATTCTCCGCCAACCCACCCCAAGGCGATGGCCACCCCCGCCAGCATCGCCGAGGGGCTGGGGATCGACGGCGAGGCGGACAGGGACCTGCTCTGGCTCGCCGACAAGGCGCACGCGGCCGAGGCGGCCCTCGATCACTACACCTACCTCGCGACCGTCGCGCGGGTGCCAGAGTGGGCGAGCCCCGCCGACGCGGGCCAGCTGCTGCGGAACGGCTGGTACCGTGCGGTGTGCGCCGCGGCCTTTGAGGCCAAGGAGCCGGGAGAGCTCTCCGTCCAGCAGGGCGAGGAGGTCCTCGTGAACGGCGACCTGCTTCCGCCCGCGGGCTGGGCCAACGTTGCCGCAGCTGGCTTCTCCGACGCGACAGCCTTGCCCGCGGCGGGGAAATCGGCAATAATGGGCGGAAGCAAGCGGGGAGCGACTGCGACGAGGACCGCCATCGTGAGAGATGCAGCCACAGGGTTACTGACTGGCTTGTGAAGTCACGCATGCTGCTAGACGGTAGAGCCGTAGAGCGCTACGGCTCTAACTCTGAGAGGCCTACGTGGTTGAGGCTTGAGCGCTTCCTTTTCCGCAGCCGCGAGCACGGGGGAAGGGTGAAGGGAAGTTTTTCCCGAAGCCCGAAGTTTTTTGAAACCACTATCGGACCCTCTCGTCTCTATTCGACACAAGACAATATCACATGGGTCTGGAGGTAACTATATCAACATGCACGTCTCTCTGTGCTGTGCCCCGCTGGCGTGCCGGCTCGTCCCCCTGCGCTTGGGTGCACTCGCCACTTGCCCGCCGAGCGGACTGCCGAGCGCCGCCCCTCGCGTCGCGTGGGATCAAGACCTGTGCCGCGGGGGGGTCGTGCGCATCGTGCTCATCGTTCGGATGGCAGCCCGTTCTGACGCCATGATGTCGCGCAGGGCTCGCCCCGCCATCGCCTCACGTGCCTCCTCCTCGGATCGGACGGGAGCGTTGCCCATCGCAGAGGTGCCCCTGTTTCGCCCCTCCGGCCGGCGCCCATCCCTCATGCGCCGCCTGCGCGCTGCCGTTGCCGGCGTCGAGGCCGGCCGAGCGGAGGCCGACTGCGCGCGGCGGGGTGCCGGTACAGTAGCGGGGCTCGCAGATGGCCGTGCAGATGCCGGCATGGGCGTGGGAGACACTCGCGCAACTCGCGTGGGAGAGACCCGCGCAACCCCTGGGCGGTGGTAAATGCCCCCAGGACCGGTACCGTGACCGGTGCTACTGCGCGGCCACTCCTGGCCGAGCTGGACGGAGGTGTTGCTCCGCCTCCCGCTGCCTGCCCGAGCTGGAGCAGCCGCGGGGATCGGGGTGGCGAGGATTGCGGCGAGGATGGCGTCGCCGCACGGCAGAAGAGCGCCGGGCTCGAAGCCGCGCTTGTGCTCCAGGAAGCGGCGAATCTCATTCAGAGTGAGGTCGGGACGCAGCTTGACCAGCGCCTCGGCGTCTGCGTAGATGGTCCGCTCAGCCTTCCAAAGTGCGAGCAGCAGCGAGAGCGAGCGCGCCGCATCTGCAGCCTGCGCCTCGGTGACGCCTGGCGCTGCAAAGCCGCCCGCTTCTCGAAGACCGTTGGAGACGGGATTGGTCTCGGCAATCTTCCAGACGTCGGCCGACGGTGCCGCCTCGGCGTCTGCAATGGCTCGCAGCAGGTCCTCGCTCACGAGAGCCTCCGGAGCGACGCGAAGCGAGCGTGCCCACTCGAATCTCCACCCCACAAGTCGCGGGTAGAGACGATCGCCGCCCTCGCTGCTGCGTGTGCCGTTCATGGGGAAAAGGCAGTCGCGAGGAGCGCAGCGCGCCTTTTGCTCGAGCACCCAGGGCGTGTCAAGATGGCGGGATTTTTCCCCTTCTCCTCTTTCCTCTCCGTAAGAAAAAGAATTGCGAGGTGTCGGCGCAGGGGAGCTGTCGGAGCGAGCCCATGGCCGCTCTCGTGAGCGATCCCGCCGTCGACGAGCTCGAGGCTGCGCTCGAGCGCATCGTGACGCCGCCTCGCCACCGGATCGAGGACGACGAGCCTGCGGCCTTTGCCGAGCACGTCCTGTGTGGCGCGGCGCAGCATGCGTTTGCCGTGGACCGGCTGGTCGAGAGAGGCGTGACGGCCGTGGTCAACTGCGCGCCCGCCGGCGCGCACGACTGCCGCGCCATGTACGCAGCTCGCGGCATCGCCTACCTCGCTCTGGACGGCTGCGAGGATATCGCCGGCTACGACCTGTGGCAGCACCTCGACGCGGTCCTCGCCTTTGTCGAGGCCGAGACGAGCGGCGCGCGCCGCTCCGGCCGCGTGCTCGTGCACTGCTTCGCCGGCTCCAACCGCTCTGCCAGCTTTGCCATCGCGGCTCTTTTGGTGACGACGCGGGAGCCGCTCGAGCCGCTCGTCGCGCGGTGCTTTGCGCTGCGGCCCTTCATCCTCAAGAACAAGACCTTCCGACGGCGAGCGGAGAGGAGAGAGCGGCGCCGCGGTGGAGAGGAGTGGGCAGCCTGACCCGCCCGAGCCCGGCGCCGCGTCGCAGGCAGCTCGCGACGCTCGCGGTGAGGGAGGGCATCCCCTCCGCAGCCTCGCGCGACCGCCAGAAAGGCGCGGAGACGGCGGCGGAGACGGCGGCGGGGAAGGCGGCGGAGACGGGGGTGGAGGCGGCCGAGGCGGCACAGGCGGCAGCGGGTGCGGAGGCGGCGGCGGACGCGCCGTACGCGCTCGGCTCCAAGCTCGGACAAGGCGCGTTCGCCACGTGCTACGCCTGCTGCGTGCAGGGCAGCGCGGCGCCCCTCGCGGCCAAGGTGGTTGTGCGCGGGAGGTGGGTGTGGATCGGCGGCCGCTCCGTGCCTGGCGACGTCGCGGTCGAGTCGCTGCGGCGCGAGGCGAGGGCGCTGCGGCGGGTGGGCGAGCACGCGCACGTCGTCGAGCTGCGCGGCCTCCGCTCCGAGCCCGAGCGGGAGGTGCTGCTCATGTCGCTCGCGCCGGGCGGAGACCTCGCCAAGGTCGCGCTCGACTGCCCGAGCGGCATGCCCGCCGACACGGTCCGGCACCTGCTGCGCGGCTTGCTCGCGGCGCTGGCGCGCCCTGCGGCCGATGAAGGGCGGGTGGAGCCTGCGGCGGGGGCTGAGACCTCCTCCTCCTTCTCCCTCCGCAGGAGCACATCCACGCGAGAGGCGTCATCCACCGCGACGTCAAGCTCGAGAACCTGCTGCTCGGTCCCTCCGGCGAGCTGCCCCTCTCCGGCTCCGGAGAGCTGCCCCCCCCCCCCCTCCCTGCGCCCTCCTCGAGCCTTCCCGGAGCTCTCCCCGCAGGCGAGCTGCTCCTCTCCGACTTTGGGCACTCGGCACTCGTCGCGCCACGAGGCAGACGCTCTCCACCACGCACCAGCACCTACCCGCACACCTCCGCTCCCGCCCCGCACCTCCCGTCCCGCACGCACCGCCGTTGAGGCCCCCATAAACTGATGATAAAGCTCCTGTTCGAAGACCGCTGCCCCCCTCCTTCTCCCCTCCCAGGCGAGCAGCGGCTCTACGACAAGTGCGGCACCAAGCCGTGGTGCGCCCCCGAGATCCTCTCCTGCGGCACCGAGGGCTACGCCGGGCCGCCCGTCGATTTGTGGTCGGCCGGCATCTGCCTCTTCGCGCTGCTCTGCGGCAAGATGCCCTTCGCCATCGCCGACGAGGCCGCCGACCCGCGCTACGCTCGCGTGGCGGCCGCGCAGGCCTCGGGCGAGTCCGCGTGCGGCGTGCTGCGAGGCTGGCTGGCGTCGGGGAAAGGCGGCGCCCTCGACTGGGGCGACGGCGCCGACGCGCTCCTCGACGGGCTGCTCGCGGCGCAGCCGGGCGGGAGGCTGTCGGCGACCGAGGCGGGCGGCAGCGTGTGGGTGCGGGGCGGCGGCGCGGAGGGCGCGCCGCCGGGCAAGCGGCGGCGCGTGCTCGACCTCGACGCGCAGCAGGCGCACGAGGAGCGCACGTGCGTCTGGCGCGGCGTCGAGTCGGCGACGCGGGCGGACTGCCTGAGAGGCCAGTCTCCCGGCGACGGCCGGCACGGCTCGGGCACCGGCGCGACCGCGGCGGAGTACCCGAGCCAAAAGGTGAGGTACGCGGTCGCGCAGCACGGCTGGCTGCGAGACGAGAATGAGCACGGCGCGCGGCTGCCCGTCATCGAGGTGGACCTCCCCTTCAAGGTGGGGCGGGACAACAACAGGAACTACAGGTGGGGACAGCAGGCCGACTCGCCCGCCCCGTTGCCCAACGGCGGCTACCCGCGTTGAGCACCTGTGTGTGGTTGCTGGTTGGTGACCTGAGCGCGCTTCGTTGTTTTTCTTATTAGCCGCGGCTTGGAGCATTGACAATTGACGACATGAAAAAAAGGCAAACAGAGCCAAGATTCAGTTGAGTCGCTGTGGTGGCTGTGACCTCTGTATCGTGTGTTTTTGTCATTTATTTGTGGCAATTCAGTCTTATAAAGTGGGCTCAAGTGTCTCTTGAAATACGTCGTGTCTCAAGCACGAATCAGTCTCGAGATTTGTTTGTCGAATCAGTATCGATCGAACACACAAACACAAAATCTCTCTCTCTCTCTCTCTCTCTCTCTCTCTCTCTCTCTCTCTCTCTCTCTCTCTCTCTCTCTCTCTCTCTCTCTCTCTCTCTCTCTCTCTCTCTCTCTCTCTCTCTCTGGTATTGCTAAAAATCTCTCTCACAACAGATCGAACCTACTCCTAAATGATCACGAAGCCTGGAGAGTGGAGTCGCTCCTCACCGCAAATCAAACCCCGTCAGCAGTTGCCAGTTCCACCTTCGGCAGTTCCACCTTCGGGTAGGTAATCCTTTGTGTTCACACCGGTAAGAGGTGTGAACAATGACGATTTCGGCCTTAGTCGTCGGCATGCCAAATAGCGTGCTAGCCAAGCGTGACTTAGCCGGGTAACGGCCGCCCCGACCGTCCTGCTTCAAGAGCCAAGGACCAGTCCAGAACAGCATGGCTCTTCTCCTCGCCGCCCTCGGTGCTCAACCTTCTGTGGCCTCTCCCCACCTCTCCAACGGTGTTGCACAGCTCAGCCAAGCGCCACGCATCTGGCTCGTCAACGACTTCCTCGACAAAGCCGAGGTGCAACTCGCCCGCAATCACTGGTCCGCTCCACTGCCCACGATAACGCCACTCACACTCGCTTGTTTAGGTCTCCTACCTCAGGGGGCTCGCGGACGCCACCCAGTTTGGCGCGTGCGAGAACCAGCGCGTCCTCAACAACGGCAAGGCGTGCGCCCAGCTCAAAATCAGCTCCTCAACCCCGGTCCTCGACCGGCTCGAAAAGCTCTGGCACGTCGATACCTCGCACGTCGAGTCACTGGCTGCCGTCCGTTACTCTCCGGGCTCCTCTCCCTCCGCGGCCCACGTCGACCACTACTCCGACGGAACTCCCGCCGACATGACCATCGTCCTCTATCTCACGGACGCCGCGCCGGAAGAGGCGGGCCACACCAACTTCCCTTTCGCGGGTGCCGCGCCGCTCTCGGTGGCGCCCAAGGCGGGCTCTCTCCTTGCGTGGATGAACGTGGACGAGGCGACGGGTGAGGAGAACCCAATGGCGAAGCACAGTGTTGGCGCGACCCCGGCCGATGCGCCTCACGACCGCCTGATCCTCCAGTTCTCGATCACGCTGCGCCCCCAGCTCAAGCGGAGCTGCCCACCGCTCCCCTCCTCGTGGCCTCACAGCAAGGGCTTTGATCCGCTCAAGGAGGTTTCGGCCTCGCGCGCCATCTGCTCCACACACGTCGGCGACGACAAGCTCTTCCCGACGAAGGCGTCTCCCGATGGGCCGATGGCCAAGGCGGAGGGCGCTACGTGTTCTTTCGCCGACGAGTGCGACTCGGGCCTCGTCTGTGGGTGCAAATGCCTGCCGGGCGCGCTCGACGAATCGATGTGCTCGGAGTGCCTCTGCGAGCGGGCAAAGTGCAGTGGCTGCGCCCACCGCCAGCTCGGAGAGGTCGGGGTCGGTGAGGCGCAGGTCCTGGTTGGCGAGTCGGCCCCAGCTGCGTGCCCGGAGGAGTGCCTCGCCAAGTGAGAGGTGCGCCGCAGCACCCTGGCCAGTCAGAGACAGACACGGCCGTGTTGAGTATGTAGAGAAGCAGAATGAGCCTCGGAGAGGCTGGGCTCGCACCACGGTCCCGTCGTGTGCTTGTGTCTAATGGTACAAGATGGCTCTCAAATAGTGAAAATAATCAAGCATCATGGCATGAACTGCCATCTCTCGCGCGCGGCCCCCCCCCGCCCCGACCGAAAAAGCATATAAGCGCTCAAAACACACAGAGATACAAGAAGATCTAAAATCTCTCTCCAGAGATATCAGTCGTGTCTCGTGAGAACTGAGATAAAGCCGTATATGTGTGTTGTTCACGGCACACAAGCGATGACCGCCCTGGTTTATATGACATGGTTCAACAGACGCGTCGTCGTTTTAAAACACCGCGCTTTCGCTCTCTACTATTGATCACAGTAGTAATTCGCGCAGGGTCTCGTCTGCCGCCGCCAGTGTGCAATCTTTACCGGTATGGGAGTTTTTGGCTAATCAAACCCAAGGCCTGCACTAATCAAAAAGTGGTACGGGATACCAGTTGCCTCACGGAAATCAAAGCGAGTCGGAGTGCCTTCTTGGTGGCAAAATCGGCAAAATCGGCAAAATACCGGGTATTTTGCGGGTATACCTGGAAAAACCCGGGTATACCCGGGTAAATACCCGCACTTTTGCATGGTTTCGCCCCCGGGACCACACCGACAGCCGCTACAACTGCTGAAAACCCCGCATACCACTTTCGCATACCACTATACCATACCACTCCAAAACTAATCAAAATATCGCCAAATACCAGTCTCATACCGGTAAAGATTGCACACTGGCCGCCGCGCGTAAGTCTACTGCCAGCTCCCTACCCGCCCTCGCCCTCCATCTGCGCCTGCGCGCGGAGTTTCGCGCGGATCCACGCCGCGAAGCGAGGGGCATAGTCGGCGCAAGCCGCGGCGGACGCCTGGGCGTTGTGTCGGCTGACGATCCACCCTGCGCAGTGGAGGCGAGGCTGGGGCGAGGGGCGAGGAGGTGGCTGGGCGAGAGAGTGGCTAGAGCGCCGCACGCCTTGGAACGCCACGCTCTCTGTCAGGTTGACCACGAGATGCCACCAGCCGTGAGGCACGTAGACCACCTGCCCCGGTTCCTGCACGCACCACCGCAGCCGCTCCAGCCCCGACCCTCCCCCCCCGGCGAGGCGAGGCAGCAGGAACCGGTCCAGCCACGCGTGCGCGCCGAGGGAGGCGGCGAGGCCGGGCGGGAGCTCCGCGGGCGCGGCTCGCCCGCCGCCCCAGCCCGTCCCCCAGCCGTCGGAGGCCGTCGGAGGCCAAAAGAACCACAGCTTGCGCCCCTCGAGGCAGCAGTTCCAGCCGCTAACGGAATGAGGATCGAAGTGCCACCGCGTGCCGCTGCGAGGAGGGCCCACCAGCAGCCAGCGAGCCTCGCCGAGGATGTCGTCCACCTCGTCCACCTCGTCCTCCCCGCCCTCCTCGCCCTCCTCACCCTCCCCGCCCTCCCCGCGCGGCTCCGCCGGGCCCTCCTCGAGAAAGTTGTCTCCGAGCACCGAAGGGCGGCTCAGGCAGTCGAGCAGCGCGGCCGGCGGCGACGAGTCGAAGAGGTAGAGGGGCTCGGCGTCCTTGTCCGCGAGCCGCCGCACGTACTCCTCGAACGAGCCGAGGGAGAGTCGTACGTCGCAGCCGCCGCGCTCCCAGTCGTTGATGTGCCACTTGCGCTCTGCAAAGCGTGTGCGCAGCTCTGCGAAGGTCCAGCGGGTGGCACATGCACCGCGCAGCAGCACCGGCTTGCGCGCCGCGCCAAAGCGCGCGTCAAAGTCGGCCGGAGACAGATCGCGGCACGAGACGGCAGACAGGCGAGAGAGCTGGCCTCTCTCGAGCAGGCCGAGCGCCGCTCTCTCGAGGGTGCCGCCGTCAACCACGGCTCGGCATGCCGCGGCTCCGGGCCGACGCGAGCCGCACACGAGGATGCACGCGGTCTCGTGCCATGTTCGACCAAACCTCACTCGCGTGCGCTCGTCCCAGCAGAGATGGCCCAGCACCGCTCGACGCCAAAACCGCTCGCCGAGCCTCGAAAGCGCTCGGCACGTCGGCGCGAGCCGGAGCAGCAGGCTGAGCCCGCCAGGCACGCGCCAGAGACCCGCCTCGCGGGCAGCGAGGATAAGCAGCCTCTGTGGGGAATGAGGGGCGCTGCTGAGCATGCTGGCGGTCGGCCCCGGGCGCGCGGTAGAGCGATTCAGGGTGAGTCTTTCGGGGCCGATGGAGCTGCGGCTGTCTGCCCGGGGCCGGTTAGCGGCGTGGGGGTGCCTGTGCGCGTTTTTTTTCTTCGCAATGCCTGCTCTATTCATTTAAAAAGCCAGAGAGCGCGCCCTTCGCGCCCCTTCCCTCGCGCCTCACTCGGCCCGCGCCGCGAGCGACTCCTCGATGGCGCGCGCGACGGCGAGCACCCTCCGGTCCGAGCCGCCCACGCCGGCAACCATCAGCCCAATCGGCGCCTCCTCGCCCGGCGAGTGGCAGGGGAGCGAGACCTGGGGCGCCGGGGTTCCCCGTCAGGAGGAGGAGGGGGTGCGGGGAGTGTCGCGGGCTCGGCGCGGGACGGCGCACCGCGCAGCCGTCGATCATGTTGATGAGTCCGGGGTTGCGCAGCATGCGCAGGTTCCACCTCGCGTACTCGTCGCCCGACACCGACACCTCCTCGATGGTCGGCGCGACGCTCGGCGTGGTGGGCAGCAGCACCGCGTCGTACTGCGAGAGCAGCTCCGCCGCCTCGCCGATCACCGCCCGCCTGTCGAGCCCGAGCTGCACGTAGTCGGCGCCTGAGGATGGGGCAGGGGGCGGGGCAGGGGTCAGGGGCGGGTCCGCCGTCTCCAGCCATCTCGGCGCAGCGGGCGGGCGCACCGCTGAAGAAGCCCTCGCCCGCCTCGATGCGCTTGGCGACGTTCGGGTCGTACAGCTCCCGCTTCGTCTTGAGCAGCGCCCGGTGGATCTGCGCCGCCTCTGCGCCCGCGAAGCCGCCGCCCGCAAAGAGCGCGTGCGCCGCGTCGAGGCACGGGGCGTCGGCGGTGGAGATGCGGGCGCCCGCGGCGGAGAGCGCGGCGAGGGCGCGCTCGAAGGCCGCGGCGACGGGCGGGTCGAGGTCGTCCAGCGCGAAGCAGCGCGGCGCGAGGAGGCGGAGCGAGGGCAGCGCCGCCGGCTCTGGCGCGCGTGCGTCCGCCGGCTGGCCGTCCGCCGCGAGGATGGCGTCGAAGACGGCGCAGCAGGAGACGGAGCGGGCGAGCGGGCCGACCGAGTCGAGCGTGTACGAGAGAGGGAAGGCGCCCTCTCGCGGCACACGCGACTGCGTCGGCTTGAAGCCGGTCACGCCGCACAGCGCCGCGGGGATGCGGACGGAGCCGCGCGTGTCGGAGCCTAGCCCCATCACGCAGAGCCCGTCCGCGACCGCGACGGCGGCGCCCGAGCTCGAGCCTCCCGGGATGCGCCCGGTGCCGCGGTCGTGCGGGTTGGCGGGCGTGCCAAAGTGCGGGTTCGTCCCGATGCCGCCAAAGGCAAACTCGACCATCGACGTGCGGCCGAGGATGACTGCGCCGGCGGCGCGCAGGCGGGCGACCGCGGGCGCGTCTCTCGTCGCGGGCGGCTCCGACGCGAGCGCCTTTGAGCCGGCGAGCGTCACATCGCCGCCGACGTCAAACAGGTCCTTGACCGAGACAGGCAGGCCCTCCACCGGCGAGCGGACCACGCCCGCCGCACGCAGTGCGTCGGAGGCATCTGCCTCGGCGCGAGCCAGGTCGGCGTACACCTTCATGTAGGCGCGCGGCCCCTCGCCGAGCGGGTCGGCAATTCGAGCGAGCGCCTGCGGCGAGGCAAGGGCTGTGCACGAGAGCGAGGGCGAAGAGGGTACGAGGCCCGCAGCGCGCCTGCTCGACGAGCGCCCGCGAGGTGGTGCGGCCGGCAATCAGCTCCTCGCGCAGGTACGCAACGGTGGGGTGGATGAGGCACGACTTCATTCTGACGCTGGTGGTGTAGAGCAGGGTGTAGCGGCTGGTTTATGGAACTCGTTGCACAACGCGCGCGGGCGAGCAGCCGGCTGCGGCATCTGGAATGAACTTTTCTTCTTTCCACGTCGAAGAAGAAACTCGCGCGCAACAAAAAGGCGAGCTCGAGCGGCAGGCCGACTGGCAGATACTCGTGTATACTCGTGTACAGGTAGTCGTCACAGGACCACCTCCACCTCTCTAGTCCTCTACTGGGGGGGGGGGGGGGGCGTTCTCTGTCACAGTGACGACTACCTAGCATGGCTCCTCTCGTGGTCCCGTCCCTCTCCGCGGCGCGCGCCCGCCGCCGCCGAGACATGGCCGTCGATGGCGTCGGCACTCGCGGCGGCATCCGCCGCACCCACAACCGAGGAGGGAGGTATTGACGGCGCGAGTGGCGCAGCGTCGCGCTCCACGATCCGGATCGGAGCCAACGCGCCGCCCCCGCCCGCCGCGGAGGCGCCGCCGGCGTCCCCGCCGCCGCCGCACCCGCCGTCGCCGCCGCCGCCTCCCCCGAGGGCGTCGAGCGAGTCCAGTAGCCGCTGGACAGCCGCCTCGCCCTCGCGGAGGTGGAGCGCGGTGACGGAGAGCCCCGCCGCGTACTCGCGCGAGGTGCGCGCGCACTCGATGCCGCAGAATCGACGCAGCCCCTCGCTGTCGTACACCCTCTTATCGGCGACCGAGAAGTGGTAGCGGCCACGGGAGCGGCCGTCAGGCTTGGGGAGCTTGCCGGCGCAGCGCGGGTTGCCGCACTGCCCGTCCAGCGCTCGCTCCGTCTCGACGTCGTCGTAGTGGTGCGGCTGCAAAATCTGCGCCGCCACGCTGAGCGTGCCCTCGTCGACGGCGCCCTCGAGCAGCCGCCACTGGATCGAGTACGCCGCCTTGTCGCACGAGACCTTGGCGCGGATGCGCCGCTCCATGTCGGCCTTGTTCGCGGCGGCCTTCGCGGCGTCGTCTTTCTTGGTCATGGCCGCGACACGCTGGCGGGCTTGGAGGGGAGGACCAGCCGCCGACGTATACGCTCTTCGATAGAGGGTTCGGGCTCCCTGAATGGATGGGGCCGCTGCGAGTCGAAGCAGGGCTTTAATAATCGTTGTAGATGCATGTACGTACGGGCTTCCCGTATCGGACCTTCAAGACATGCCTCTACTAGTGAAAATACTGCCCGCCCTCGCCCTCGCCTACCGCCTCCCGCCTCCGCCCGCCGACCCGCCGCCAGCTCGTCCGCCAACCCGTCGTCTCTGTCGCCTCTCGCCCGCCCGCCATCGCCCTCGCCTTTCACCTCCCGCCGCCCCCCGCCGACCGCCACGCCAGCTTGCCTGCCGCCCTGTCGTCTCGCCTGTCGCCTGCCCGCCCTCGCCGCCTCTCGCCGACCACCACGCCAGCTTGGCCGCCGCCCTGTCGTCTCGCCTATCGCCCGCCCGCCCTCGCCCTCGCCCCCTCCTCCCGCCACCACCCTCGCCTCACCCTCCCGCCGCCTCGCCGCTCGCTTGCTCGCTCGCGCGCCCGCTCGCGCCTGGCTTTCTACTTCCTCGTGATCGCCCGAATCTATCCTTCCTCGTGATCCACCCTCGCCTCACCCTCCCGCCGCCTCGCTGCTCGCTCGCCGCTTGCTCGCCCGCCCGACTTTCTACTTCCTCGTGATCCGAACCGCCACCACCCTCGCCTCACCCTCCCGCCGCCTCGCCGCTCTCGCCCGCCGTTCGCTCGCCCGCTCCCGACTTTCTACTTCCTCGTGATCCATCTCGCCGCCCGCTCGCTCGCTCGCGCTCGACCTCCTACTTCCTCGTGATCCACCGCCGCCACCCTCGCCACCGCCACCTTCTCGCCGCTCGCTCGCCCGCTCGCGCTCGACCTTCTACTTCCTCGTGATCCACCCGCCGCCACCCTCGCCTCACCCTCCCGCCACCTAGCCGCCCGCTCGCCGCTCGCTCGCCCGCTCGCGCTCGACCTCGCCCCACCCTCCCACCGCCTAGCCGCTCGCTCGCCGCTCGCTCGCACGCCCGTGCCAGACCTCCTACCTCCTCGTGATCCGCCCGCCGCCACCCTCGCCTCGCCCTCCCGCCGCCTAGCCGCTCGCTCGCCGTTCGCTCGCCCGCTCGCGCCAGATCTTCTACCTCCTCGTGATCCGCCCGCCGCCACCCTCGCCTCGCCCTCCCGCCGCCTAGCCGCTCGCTTGCCGTTCGCTCGCCCGCTCGCGCCAGACCTTCTACCTCCTCGTGATCCGCCCGCCCCCACCCTCGCCTCACCCTCCCGCCGCCTAGCCGCTCGCTCGCCGCTCGCTCGCACGCCCGCGCCAGACCTTCTACCTCCTCGTGATCCGCCCGCCGCCACCCTCGCCTCACCCTCCCGCCGCCAAGCCGCTCGCTCGCCGTCCGCTCGCCCGCTCGCGCCAGACCTTCTACCTCCTCGTGATCCGCCCGCCGCCACCCTCGCCTCGCCCTCCCGCCACCTAGCCTCTCGCTCGCTCCTATCCGTGCCACGCCTATCCGTGATCCTGCCGTTACCGCGCCGTCCTTGCTCCTCCCTGCCGTGCCGCTCCTTCCTCCGTGCCGCGCCGCCCTTGCCGTTTAGCCCGCCGCCCCCCCTGCCGTCCGTTACCGCCGTGCCGCCGTACCGCCGCTCCTACAGTGCCACGCCCCGTGCCGTTTGTCCCGCCGTCCGATGCCCTGCCTGCCGTCTGTTGCCGCCGCGCCGCCTTGCCGCCGACCCTTGCCGTGCCGCGCCGCCTTTACACACACACCCATACTTCCTGCTTCGACGGGGGTTAGTGTTGAGGAGTGACCCGTGCCGCCGTGTGCCCCGCAGCGGCCTCGCTGGGCCAGAAAGTCGGCCCCGAGTGCCAGCAGCAGCCTCGTTGAGCCAGAACGTCGGCTCGCGAGGTGGGTGCTAGTATGAGCCCGCTGAGGCGTAGTGCTCTTGCAGAGGCGGTTAGTGGTGCACTAACCCCGAGAAACCCTTCGGGTCACTCCTCATCGCAAACCCTGTCAGCAGTCCTCCTCCGGGAATGTACGTAAGAGCCACATACATTGAAAACCGAGGTTCGAGCGCCCGTACTGCGCCGAGCGAGGGAGGGGAGGGGGACTCTTTTGCGAGAGAGAGATTTGTGTTGTTTGTGTTGCTTTTGCGTGGACCCGTCGTGTTCACTAAAATTGTGTGTTCACTACGACCCCCGCGCCGCACCTGCCTGCCTGCCTGCCTGGCACGCGTTCCTGCTGTCGTACCAGCTCAGCGCGAGCAGGATGGGCTCAACGACGTAGAGCGGCGGATAAAGGCCGTTTATCCCAGGGGGGAGGATAGGAGGAGCCATAAATCGATTCCTATTGATGATTGAGGGTTTCGAGCGCAGGCGTCTTCAAGGCGAGCACCGTGCGAGGCGCTGGCGCAACCAGAGCACTCATGGGTGCGGCCTGTTCACGAGAGCCTGGTGCCAGCGGCGCCACCGTGAACCCGACCGTCGCTGCTACGTATGAGAAGGACGCTCCCTCGCTCAAGAAGGTCGACGAGACCACGCCTGCCACCGACGAGGCTGCGGGCGACGAGGTCGCCAAGACGGAGGCCGTCGAGGCCTTCTCAGAGTGGGTCAAGACCATCACGCCTCGCCGCACGGACGACATCGCCGCGGAGAACGTTCACGGCCACGACGCCACCGATGCCGAGCCTGCAGCGGAGGCGCCTCTGGTGGAGGAGGAGGTGGAGGCGGAGATTACCGCGGCGGAGGCGGAGGAGCCGGCCGCAGAGAGAGAGCCTGTGGCAGAGGAAGAGTATGCGGCGGAAGAGGAGCCTGTGGCACCGATGGAAGAGCCCGCTGAGTCGCCAGAGGGCGCCGTCGACACCGCAGTCGAGCACAAGACAGGCGGCGACGGCGACGGCGTGGCGGCGGCGGAGGCGCCAGAGGAGGCACTTGCCGAGGGCGGCTACGCTTCGCCGCGCAAGGCGGCAGGCGAGGAGGCGGAGGTGGCGCAGCAAGTCGAGGCGCAACAGGAGTCGAACGAGACGAGCGTCGAGGAGGAGGCGCCCGCCGCTGACATGATTGAGACCGAGCAGGACTGCCCGCGCGAACGATGCGCTGCCGGGGAGGTGGCGGCGACGGCGTCGGCTGGCCCAAACACCTGGGATGAGGCCGTCGAGGTCGAGTCCCCCCGCGATGAGGATCTCGCTGCCATCATCGCTCAAGCCGAGCAGGAGGCGACGGCGATGGTCTCCCCTCGCCAGGAGGTGGTTGCCGAGGAGACTGTTGCGGCGGATGCGGCGGCCGAGAAGGCGGTGACCGAGGAGACGGCGAAGGCGGAGATGGAGGAGGTGCCGGGGGGCGCGGCCGACACCGCCATCGACTCGCTCGAGGAGAAGGCCGGCGAGGATGTCGACTGCGACGGCGAGGGCCCGCCGGCGGCGGAGGAGTGGTCGGCGGAGGGCGCTGGCGAGGCGGCGGCGGCGGAGGAAGAGGAGGAGACGGCGGCGGAGTCGGCGATGACGGAGGAGGAGGCGCCGGCGGTGCCGGAGAAGAAGACGTCATACCTGGGCAGGGTGGCGGCCATCCTCTCGCCGCGCAAGAAGGCGGCCTCCGCTTCATTCGCCGACGCGCCTGTGGCCTACGACGACGCGGCCGAGCCGGCGGAGGCGGAGGCGGAGCCGGTGGCAGAGACGGCCGAGCCGGTGGCAGCGGAGGTCGAGACGGTGGCAGAGGAGGCCGAGCCAGTGGCAGAGACGGCCGAGACGGTGGCAGAGAAGGCGGAGACGGTGGCAGAGACGGCCGAGCCGGTGGCAGAGGAGGCCGAGACGGTGGCAGAGGAGGCCGAGACGGTGCCGGGACAGGCGGAGGAGGGGGAGGAGACTGTCGACGAGGCGGATGATGCAGAGGTCCCCGCGGAGGCGGAGGCGGTGGAGTCGATGGGAGCTGCGGTTGTGGAGGACGCGGCGGAGGGCGCTATGGAGGCGGTGGCGTCGGTGGCGTACGTCATTGAGCCCAAGGGCACCGAGGAGACGGCGGCGCCTCGCCTGCCACAACCGCCGGCCTTCTCCTCGAGCGAGTCGATGGCGCCGCCGGGGGCTGCGGCAGACGAGGCTCCCAAGGAGGCGGAAGAGGAGACGCGGGCATCGGTGTTTGAGGCGGAGGAGGTCGAGGCGGCGAAGCGCAAATCGTCGCTGGACCGCGAGCTCGCCACGCTCGCCGCCGACGCAAAGGTGTACGCGGACGCCGCCTGGCAGCGCGCCTCTATGCGCTCGTCTCGCCGCTCCTCCGCCCGCCACTCGGCCCGCCACTCCGCCCGCCACTCCGCCCGCCACTCCGCCTGCTACACCGACGAGACGAGCGAGGCATCCGAGGATGAGGCGAGCGTGGAGCCCCTCCCGCAGCCCCTGAGCAAGATCCCAAGCGGCGTGGAGGCGGTGGCGGAGGAGGAGGGAGCCGTGGCTCAGGGCGCAGAAGTGCTGCCCGAAGGGGGAGCTGTCAACGAGGGAGAGCCCTCCTTGATCCGTCGCTTCACGAGCTGGCTCTCGCCCGGCCTCCGCTGCGTCCCGAGCCAGGACACGCCCCGCCCCGCCCCGCCGACCATTCCACGCCTGAGCCTCGCCTAGGCCAGCGCAGTCTGGGGCGGCGCAGGCAAGGCCCGCACGTCAACATTCGAGAGAGAGTTAGAGATTAATTGACGAGAGGAGGAGTGGAAGAGATGGGGGAGGGCACTCGCCGTGGCACATGTCGATAGACCGATAGAGAGCAACGCACGCCGTATAGAGAGCAACGCACGAGTGGCGGAGAGTGACGACACGAGATACTTGAGTCGGTACATGCATGTTTGCATCTCCTGGTAGAGGTGTCCTTTTTATGTATTTATTGTGCAGCTGTGGGGCGCACCGGCACCGCCGGCGACGGCGCACCGCCGGCCGCCGGGCTTTCTCTCGCCTCTCGGTCGTGTGTGTCGTATCTCTGTGGCGAGATAGTGCCGTACATTCTTTCACAAGAGACTCA